GACCGTCGCAAAAATATGGCTGTCCTTGTCGGTCAACGACGGCCAGATCTGACATTTTCCGGTTAGATCCACTGTGGATATGGTCTGAAAACGCCAGATCGATGAATTATTAGCCAATTCTGATCGTTTGTAGGCCTTTTTGACATATTCTGGCTACCATCGACGATGATTGCCGCAATATGGCAACTACGGGGAGGTGGGGGTGTTTTTATTAATTTTAAATTTTTTTTTTCTAGGGGTATTTATGAAATTAATAAACTTAAAGGGTCTAAAAATAATTAAAAAAATATAATAGTATTTGCTAAATAATTAAACAAATAGTTATTTTTTGAATAGGGTATGAAATAACAAGTGAAACGCATTATTCAATATTGGCATGCATGATACAGAATCTGAAATTTTGAGTATTAACATGTTATTGATATAATTTATATTATTTTATTAAAAATATATAAAAAATTTCCAGAATTCAAAGTCTAGAAAAAGTTGCCCCTTTTGAAATTGTCTCTTTATTGTTTTTTTGGTGGCACAGTTTCCACAGCGCGGGGGCAACGTTTATTGGTTTGGTAGACATCTCAATCATACAGTTGAGGACTAATATAAAAAGGCACTTCTCAGTTCTCAATTCGTAATTAACTTTTAACAATAAATAATTTCATTATGTAAAGGTTGTCTCTACACCGTCCATCAAAAACGAATTACGTATCGGACGGAAAGATAAAGATCTGGTTCAAATAGCCATCAGATTTCTGCCAGCTGGATTGATTACGCAATTTTTTCTGTGTCTTGAGATTCCTAAACCGGGGGCTAAGCATTGAAAATGCAAAAGGAACGTTTATAACAACACAAAATTCTTAGAACCATTTAAGAGTTTTTCTCATCCTTGCTGTTGACTTGGCGTCGCTCGCTCGATCTCTCTATTTTAAGGTTTGTTATCTTTCAATTTCTTTTAAACTTGGATAAGCATCCTCTTTATTAGTGTTTTTAATATTGTTTTACTTTCTGCGCTGGAGTTTTGTTGTATTTGTGCGATGGACATGGTAATTTCGTGATAGATCTGTTGTATTGATGGTCGAATTAATTCTGTGGAGTTTTGTCTGTGTGATTTGGAAATTTTTCGTGTTTATGCTATTATGTGATCAGAAAGACCACCGAAAATTTCATAATTTGGTAGGAAATTTCATGTTTAATTCTGTCGCATCTGGAATGTTCGATTTTCTGGAATTAAATATATTTCTATGTTTAAATTGGTGGTCCTGATTTTCCTTTAGTTGTAATTTGCATTATTCAAAGTACTTTGATCTTTTGAGAGGAATTGTTTGTGAAATCTTAGATTGTGATGCCAAAAAATCTGTATTACCAATTGAAGAACATTTTTATCATTTACAGAGTCCTGGTGTTAATACGTGTCTTAATTTGATCTCGTAGGTATTTGGGGGTTTGGAGGTGTAGCAAATTAGCAATGGCCAGTGGTTTTGGGGAATCAACAAGCAGGTCACCCCAAAGCCCTTCTTACTCTAACAGCAACAGTAATGGTGATGCTGGTAATTTTGAATGCAATATTTGCTTTGACTTAGCTCAAGATCCGATTGTGACTTTATGTGGTCATCTTTTCTGCTGGCCGTGCCTTTACAAATGGCTCCACATTCACTCTAATTATCGAGAATGCCCAGTATGTAAGGCCGTAATTGAGGAGGAGAAGTTAGTCCCTTTGTATGGCCGGGGAAAAACGTCAGCTGACCCGCGATCAAAATCCATCCCTGGTGTTAATATTCCAAATCGTCCCGCAGGGCAGAGACCAGAAACTGCTCCTCCACCAGAACCAAATCATTTTCATCAACATCAACATGGTTTTGGCTTTATGGGAGGGTTTGCACCAATGGCAACGGCAAGATTTGGGAATTTCACTTTATCTGCTGCTTTTGGTGGTCTCATTCCTTCGTTGTTTAACCTTCAGGTGCATGGGTTCCCGGATCCTGCCATGTACGGGGCAGCTGCTGGCTTTCCTTATGGGTTTACTAATTCATTTCATGGTGGTCATGCACACGGATATCCTCTGCATACCGGTCAAGGGCAGCAAGATTATTATCTAAAGAGACTGCTTTTGTTTATTGGTTTTTGTGTTCTTCTTGCTCTTATTTGGCAATAGGTATATCAACAATTTGAGCTCAAGGGCTAGCAGGTGTTGAGGCATGTCATCTATGCCGTGTCTGTAAATCTGTTAGTGCATATTCTCTTAACTCTTTTCTCTTTTCATTGTTATTATTTTTTCTTTTTGGGTGACTGAGAAATTGTTTATATCATACTTTTAGAAGTGTTGTAGTTTCTTTGATGTTTGTGCTTAGCATGTGGAATGCAACTTGTGCAATTTTTGTTTCTCAAGATCCATTTTTCTCCCCCCAATATATGGCTGGAATGGATTACAATGGTAGATCACGATTATCAACAGCAGTAAAGCAGCTTAGTATACCCTATTTAATTTGTCCCTGTGTAGCATTGAGTTTTAGACAAATAACAGTTTGTAAAATATTTGATTTTTATAGTTACTTTCAAACACTTTGTGGTCCTTTTCGTTTATTTTTTTGAGGATTTGGAAGGTGGCGCTCTGGTTGTGCTGGAAATAGTCAGAAAGAGAAAAAGTTATATATTGATTTTCTTATGGAAACTGTTTGGTTTACCAGAAAAAGTTTGTTATAAATATGCATTCCAATTAAAGCTGAAGTAAACATGTTGTTGTTGTAGGAGATAAGTGGTGGGTTACTCATATTTCTGTAGACTCTAGCGTCAAAATATTAACAACTGTTGTAAATTTAATTGAATTTTCCTCCTTTTGTCAATGAGATGGGGCGATGGTGAAGTTTGATAACATTAGCTCGTGCAAGTTCTGCTCATCTATCAAAATATTAACGTGTCTGTTAACTTTTGAAATTAGTCTAAAATCCTTAAGTGTTATAGGGATGTGGAAGTATTGCTAGTTATAGTTGTGATTTTAACATTTGTGCAATTTTGATGGATGGGATTGGATTGGATTACCTGCTTTTGTAATTAACATTTAAGAGGCCCTTCAGTGGCTGAATTTGGTGGTGGTCATTGTAGAACTCAATCAATTTAAATATGTGTTAATACTTTTCTCGAAGAAGTTCGACACGCGTGTATATTTGGGAGTTATTCAACTGGAAAACTGCTGCAGTTTTCTCTTTTCACGACCTCTTATAATGTTGGAGAGACAAGTTCATAAACATCATTGCCGCCTTTTATTATGGATTACTCAATCATAATTAATTGTCAATTATTTTAAATTATAGAATACTATGAGTCTGCTTGGTGTTAATATGGTGATTATTACGAAGTAAAATACAAAATTACAAAAAAATCCCATAGGTTTGCTAATTTAACTAAACATCCCATATATAAATTTTTTTGTAAAATGACAAAACACCCCATCCACCACAGTGCTAGATTCCAACCACCACCACCGAATCTAACGTACGACGCAGACCATTCGGATCTGATTAGACGCGCATCGATCTGGCTGTCAACGACCGCAAAAGGCCAAATTTGACCGTCGCAAAAATATGGCTGTCCTTGTCGGTCAACGACGGCCAGATCTGACATTTTCCGGTTAGATCCACTGTGGATATGGTCTGAAACAGCCAGATCGATGAATTATTAGCCAATTCTGATCGTTTGTAGGCCTTTTTGACATATTCTGGCTACCATCGACGATGATTGCCGCAATATGGCAACTACGGGGAGGTGGGGGTGTTTTTATTAATTTTAAATTTTTTTTTTCTAGGGTATTTATGAAATTAATAAACTTAAAGGGTCTAAAATAATTAAAAAAAATATAATAGTATTTGCTAAATAATTAAACAAATAGTTATTTTTTGAATAGGGTATGAAATAACAAGTGAAACGCATATTCAATATTGGCATGCATGATACAGAATCTGAAATTTTGAGTATTAACATGTTATTGATATAATTTATATTATTTATTAAAAATATATAAAAATTTCCAGAATTCAAAGTCTAAAAAATTGCCCTTTTGAAATTGTCTCTTTATTGTTTTTTTGGTGGCACAGTTTCCACAGCGCGGGGGCAACGTTTATTGGTTTGGTAGACATCTCAATCATACAGTTGGGACTAATATAAAAGGCACTTCTCAGTTCTCAATTCGTAATTAACTTTTAACAATAAATAATTTCATTATGTAAGGTTGTCTCTACACCGTCCTCAAAAACGAATTAGGGCCTCAACACAGCTGGCCTACGGGAGTTTGAACTACACGAACAAGAAAGACGGCACTAATGAATCAATGAGTTTGACTTGGTGCTTTTATTTTATCAGGGAAACAAATTTAAAACGTTTTCAGTAATTCCTTATATATAGATAGTATATCTTGATTTGAAATTGCTTTCATGTTGAAATTGAATTCAAATCTTTTCACATTCTTTTAAACCAACTGATTAGCTCAAACTCTATTATTAGTAATCAATTCACAAATTTTATGTCTCAAAATTAGGTCAACAATATTTTCAGAAGGCATTAATGGCCACGAATTTTGAAACTGCTATCTTAAGGTATACTTTTATCTGGTCAGTGGTCACATGTTATATTGGCGTTGAGGAATAGTTGAATACTGGCTTCAATGAATGTAATTCAATTTTCTTATAGATTAAGACAAATATTGTGTACAAGAATTAGACAAAATATTCTAGAATCGTATTTGGTAACAGTAGTAATATCCTTTCATGCGCAACACGGTGAAAATGAGAACTTCACTGGAAGCTTCGTTAGAGAATAGAGCCAGTTGTGAGTTGTGTAATTAACCGCCACTATTTGATACACAGTACAGGCCAATTAAAAATCTCAGGATGAGTACAAAACAAAAGGGCAAAAAGAGACAGAAAACACTTGTCCTGACTCCCCACATATTAGTCATTGGTTTGGGAAGCCATTGATGTTGCCTTGCTAAAACCCTAATTATACTTGCTCTATTACACAGGGTAGAAGGGACAAATATTAACAGACTCATCGTTCTGATATACGCTTTACAATTACATCACGCCTTTACAGTTTACACAATACAACCAAAAAAATTGGCGTTTTCATTCACTGGTAGCCAAACCCAGCCAATGAATGACACCCAACTTCAAATCAAAGCAACAGTTATAGCGCACAAATTAACTATCCTTTACTTTAAGGTGTTGAGCAGAGGAGGAATGTTTGGATGAGCCATCATCATCAGTCCTCAATTGGGAACTTTTTCTATTCTTCAAATGCATCTTCACGTAAAAATTCATGAAAAGTAACAAAATGACAGCATTGAGCACGGAATTGAAACCCCAAGCACCAATTCCATTGCATCCACCTTTGAGCAAGTGCAAGAACAAAACGCCAAAATGGCAAACCAAATTGCATCCCAACAACACCATTTGACAATTCACCACAAACGGAAAGCAGGCGCTAGGCAATCCAATCGCCGTCCAGAAACGGTACCCATAAACCACGGAGTACAATAACGTTGTCAGCAATATGGCCAGGACTTGAAAGGATTGAGAAAATTCGAGCCAAAGAAAAGACATGAAAGTAAGAATGGATTGGTTAAAGAGTTGAAAGAAAGTCAGTTTACGGTATTTGAGGACGCTGAAGAACGTACGGAGGAGATGGAGGAAGCGTGAGAGGTAAAAAACATAGGACCAAAAAAAGACGCGCCCAGAGGGGCGCGTCCCGAGAGGGAAGCATAGGAGCCACTGAAACGTGGTGGTGTTGGTACGACGCCAGAACCAGCGCGTGTCCCGAATCTCGGCTGCAGCTGAGAGGAGGATGCCGACGAAAATAACAACGGAGATTAAGGAGACAGCAAGGCTATGAACGGCCGGGATCGGGCCGAGTGGGATCCGATGGTTACGGCGGAGAAGAAGGCAGAGGAGGAGATGGAGGAAAATAGCGGCGACTATGTAGATGGCAATAGCTGTAAAGAGAAAGGACCAGGTGGATCCCCATGATTGGGCGTGGTTCCACCGGAAGTTTACGATGATTGGGTGCTCCGACAACCAATATCGTATTGTTTGGATGGTAGAAAATGGCATGTTTGAAATGGTTGGGGAGGAAGAATGGGTTTGAGAAAAGTAAAAAGAAAGATATTGGGTTAATATTGCCGTTAACCAGCGTACAGCAATGTAAAGTTGAGTTGTTGTACTTGTAAGAACGAGATGTGTGAGCAAGGAATTAGTTGGACTTGTTACGGAAACGGAGGTCGGCGCGATATATATAGGAATCACTTCCGTTTGGTTTATGACCAGAAGAAGCTTCTGTCATTAGTTTTCAAATGTTATTGATCAAACGGATAAGTACTAGCATTTGAAACATTAATGATCAATTCGATTCTGACAAATTTGTCATGTGAATATCGCTAGTTACCAGTGTAACTGTGTTACAAAAGACTCGGTCTGTGTCATGGAAAATGTACGTTTTTCACGTACAAAAACAGCTTTATTGTGGGTGAAAGTTGAATTTAAATCTGTTCATCAATTAGTACATTTGCTAAACATGTTTTTAAAGTTTTTTATGGTCATTTTACATTAATGCTTATCATCTCATTGTCCATATCAACGCTATCTCATTTATCAATCCAATAATTATTATTTAGTGTTAATCATCATTATTGTTTAGACTATATGACAGTAAAGTAAAGTAGGTTAAAAGTTTGTACCCTAACAAAGTTTCTAAATTACCCCTACTATTCTTATAATGTTGGAGAGATTGAAATAGTAGTTTATAAAACATCATTTTACTCTTTTATTATTAAGTAATATTTAATTATCAATTATTTTAAATTATAGAACACCATAATATTGTCATGTATTATATAGGGTCTCTTTTGGTTTATTATTTTATACCCTATTCTCAAAATATATGTTTGTTTAATTATTGAGGAAATATTATTATATTATATTTAATTATTTTAATCCCTTTAAGTTTATTAATTTAATTAAACACCTTCAGAAAAAAATTTAAAAAAAATTAATAAAAACACCCCCATCCACCTATAGTTGCCAGATTCCGACAACCACCGTCGGTGGTAGCCGAAATCTGTCACAACGACGTATAAACGATCGGAACTGACCGGTAATTATTCGATATGACATTTTTTGGCAGGATCTACAGTGGATAGCCAGATTTAGCTGTCAATGACCAGATCTGGCCTTTTCCGACCAGATCTACAGCTGTCAATGACCAGATCTGGCCTTTTCCGGCCAGATCTGTAGATCTGACCGGAAAAGGCTAGATCGACGCACGACCAGTCAGGTCTGACCAGTCTGTATCGTAACGCCAAATTCCTACCAGATTCTAGCGGTGGTAGTTAGAATCTGGTACTGTAGGTGGATAGGGGTATTTTTGTCATCTTACAAAATTTTTATATATTGGAGTGATTAGTTATATTAGCAAATTTAGAGGGTTTTTTTGTTAAATTTTAAATTTTACCTCTTAATAATATCCTATTTAACTATCCAATATTATTTTTAAAATCTTATCAATCTGAAATTTTGAGTATTAACATGTTATTGATATAATTTATATTATTTTATTAAAAATATATAAAAAATTTCCAGAATTCAAAGTCAAGAAAAAATTACTGTTTTTTTGGGTGGCACAGTTTCCACAGTGCGGGGGCAACGCTCATTGGTTTGGTAGACGTCTCAATCATACAGTTGAGGAACAATATAAAAAGGCACTTCTCAGTTATCAATTCGTAATTAACTTTTTACAATAAATAATTTCATTATGTAAAGGTTGTCTCTACACCGTCCGTCAAAAACGAATTACGTATCGGACGGTATGATAAAGATCTGGTTCAATTAGCCATCAGAATTGTGCCAGCTGGATTAATTACTCAATTTTTCCTGTCTTGAGATTCCTAAACCGGGGGCTAAGCATTGAAAATGCAAAAGGAACGTTTATAACAACACAAAATTCTTAGAACCATTTAAGAGTTCTTCTCATCCTTGCTGTTGACTTGGCGTCGCTCGCTCGATCTCTCTATTTTAAGGTTTGTTATCTTTCAATTTCTTTTAAACTTGGATAAGCATCCTCTTTATTAGTGTTTTTAATATTGTTTTACTTTCTGCGCTGGAGTTTTGTTGTATTTGTGCGATGGACATGGTAATTTCGTGATAGATCTGTTGTATTGATGGTCGAATTAATTCTGTGGAGTTTTGTCCGTGTGATTTGGAAATTTTTCGTGTTTATGCTATTATGTGATCAGAAAGACCACCGAAAATTTCATAATTTGGTAGGAAATTTCATGTTTAATTCTGTCGCATCTGGAATGTTCGATTTTCTGGAATTAAATATATTTCTATGTTTAAATTGGTGGTCCTGATTTTCCTTTAGTTGTAATTTGCATTATTCAAAGTACTTTGATCTTTTGAGAGGAATTGTTTGTGAAATCTTAGATTGTGATGCCAAAAAATCTGTATTACCAATTGAAGAACATTTTTATCATTTACAGAGTCCTGGTGTTAATACGTGTCTTAATTTGATCTCGTAGGTATTTGGGGGTTTGGAGGTGTAGCAAATTAGCAATGGCCAGTGGTTTTGGGGAATCAACAAGCAGGTCACCCCAAAGCCCTTCTTACTCTAACAGCAACAGTAATGGTGATGCTGGTAATTTTGAATGCAATATTTGCTTTGACTTAGCTCAAGATCCGATTGTGACTTTATGTGGTCATCTTTTCTGCTGGCCGTGCCTTTACAAATGGCTCCACATTCACTCTAATTATCGAGAATGCCCAGTATGTAAGGCCGTAATTGAGGAGGAGAAGTTAGTCCCTTTGTATGGCCGGGGAAAAACGTCAGCTGACCCGCGATCAAAATCCATCCCTGGTGTTAATATTCCAAATCGTCCCGCAGGGCAGAGACCAGAAACTGCTCCTCCACCAGAACCAAATCATTTTCATCAACATCAACATGGTTTTGGCTTTATGGGAGGGTTTGCACCAATGGCAACGGCAAGATTTGGGAATTTCACTTTATCTGCTGCTTTTGGTGGTCTCATTCCTTCGTTGTTTAACCTTCAGGTGCATGGGTTCCCGGATCCTGCCATGTACGGGGCAGCTGCTGGCTTTCCTTATGGGTTTACTAATTCATTTCATGGTGGTCATGCACACGGATATCCTCTGCATACCGGTCAAGGGCAGCAAGATTATTATCTAAAGAGACTGCTTTTGTTTATTGGTTTTTGTGTTCTTCTTGCTCTTATTTGGCAATAGGTATATCAACAATTTGAGCTCAAGGGCTAGCAGGTGTTGAGGCATGTCATCTATGCCGTGTCTGTAAATCTGTTAGTGCATATTCTCTTAACTCTTTTCTCTTTTCATTGTTATTATTTTTTCTTTTTGGGTGACTGAGAAATTGTTTATATCATACTTTTAGAAGTGTTGTAGTTTCTTTGATGTTTGTGCTTAGCATGTGGAATGCAACTTGTGCAATTTTTGTTTCTCAAGATCCATTTTTCTCCCCCCAATATATGGCTGGAATGGATTACAATGGTAGATCACGATTATCAACAGCAGTAAAGCAGCTTAGTATACCCTATTTAATTTGTCCCTGTGTAGCATTGAGTTTTAGACAAATAACAGTTTGTAAAATATTTGATTTTTATAGTTACTTTCAAACACTTTGTGGTCCTTTTCGTTTATTTTTTTGAGGATTTGGAAGGTGGCGCTCTGGTTGTGCTGGAAATAGTCAGAAAGAGAAAAAGTTATATATTGATTTTCTTATGGAAACTGTTTGGTTTACCAGAAAAAGTTTGTTATAAATATGCATTCCAATTAAAGCTGAAGTAAACATGTTGTTGTTGTAGGAGATAAGTGGTGGGTTACTCATATTTCTGTAGACTCTAGCGTCAAAATATTAACAACTGTTGTAAATTTAATTGAATTTTCCTCCTTTTGTCAATGAGATGGGGCGATGGTGAAGTTTGATAACATTAGCTCGTGCAAGTTCTGCTCATCTATCAAAATATTAACGTGTCTGTTAACTTTTGAAATTAGTCTAAAATCCTTAAGTGTTATAGGGATGTGGAAGTATTGCTAGTTATAGTTGTGATTTTAACATTTGTGCAATTTTGATGGATGGGATTGGATTGGATTACCTGCTTTTGTAATTAACATTTAAGAGGCCCTTCAGTGGCTGAATTTGGTGGTGGTCATTGTAGAACTCAATCAATTTAAATATGTGTTAATACTTTTCTCGAAGAAGTTCGACACGCGTGTATATTTGGGAGTTATTCAACTGGAAAACTGCTGCAGTTTTCTCTTTTTTAGTTACTTATGCTAGTTCCTTATTAAGGTTATAGATAATTAACTGAAGCTGTATTATGTATTGCCCCACCAGTTTAGACTGTGTTTCCTGAGTGTTAATGTTTCAGAATTTGTGTGTTATTATTTATTTAAATTTTTATAGCTCCACTTAAGAGCTCTACAATCAACTCGACTTTTTAGAGACCTTATATTGCCCGGGTTCGGTCAGTCATGACCAGTCGTGTGGGTGCTTTAGTGTCCATAGATCTTGATCTGTGATTGGATTCATGGGGATAAGTTCCGCAGAATAGTTGTTTAAGTCAGATTTGGCATATTTGGAATTGAATGTATGGCTGCTGCAGCATGATCCTCTGTATTATTCATCTGGTGAAGCTGCGACCTGTTTTAAAGTAAAGATAAAAAAATGTAAATTGGATAAGTAGTGGTAGTGATGGAGTAGTTGGAAAGGTGCCCTCACAACTACTACGCACTACACTTATGTCCTTGCTAAAGTGTCAGTGCTTAGAAAAGCTACGGGGACTTTACTAGAATACATCCATGGCACTCGTCACTACATGCAGGGTTCAGTTGATGATGCGTAGATCTGAGAAAAAGAGATTGAACAGTTCCTTATTTATTATGGAAAGTGTCACTATAATACCAGTCGGAAGGTCCGCATGTTCACTGCCAAACCCAAGTAGCCTTAGTTTCGGGTAGTGATGGCAATGGGCCGGGCCGGGACCGGGTACCCCTTAGCTCAGGCCCAAGCCCGACCTCATGACACAGGCCCAAGCCCGCTACGGGTATGATAGGCAAAGCCTAAGCCCGGCCCGACAGGTTTTTATAACCATAGGCCTGGCCCAAGCCCGCTTTTTAATAATGTTTATTTTTAATATTATAAATTTTAATTTTTTATTTTTAATTTTAGAAATAGTTTTTAAATTTAATTGAAGCTATTGCGCAATAATTTAAGCAATAATTGGACAATTAAAACTCCATAATATTTGATTATACTAACTTTTCAGCTGTGCATATAGTTAGTGAAATCCACTTTTACAAGTTGAACAAACCCATCTAACTCATTTAAAGTAATTTAACAGTTAAACCTTCAATATGGGATAAAAATTGAGGTTAGGGTTTGGGAAAAATAGATATAATATATATATATATATATATATATAATATATATATATATATGGATAATATTGTAATTAAATATAAGTATAAGGGTAAATTAGTAAAATTAATACTAAAATTTTCGGGACGGGCCGGGCCTAAAGATGTACCCATGCCCGGCCCGTACCGAGGTTGGGCCTTAAAATCAAGTCCAGGCCCAAGCCCAAGCCCCTAACCTCGGGTAAGCAGCCCTGGGCCGGGCGGGCCGGGTACCCGAAAATGTCAGGCCCATTGTCTCTCTAGTTTCGGGATGCTGCCCCATGATCTTAAAATCTTACTATTGGTTCTTTGTGTCAGAGAGCTCTGGCCCCTGGGAATAGGCTAACGGCGGGTGATTCACTAAGGGGAATAATATATTATACTTATAATTCAATCTACAAATTTTCTCTCACAATCTCATATAGTAATTACAATTGATCCCATTTATCCAATTACGAAATGTATGTCAGATTATTAAAGAAAGTTTATAAGATTAGAGTGTGTTAGTCTTTAGTTTTACTAAATTCATTTTGGGCATATATAGCTTCCTTAGTTGAGAGAATAAATTCATTTTTGTTTAACAACCGAAACACAAATGTATTTGTCGCATAACAAATATCAAACACCACCAGGCATATCTTGGAAATGATCAGCTTACACATATATAACTCCGTATAATTAATTTAATTTTGCTGTTGTATTTGTTGGAGCCCCATCAGTCAGAGAAAAAGATCTTCTCATGTATGTGTGTGGTTGGGCCATTTTGTAATAATTTATCGCCACAGAAAGGGTATCAGTTTGGTCCAGGATTCTTGTGGATATGTCCCTAATGCAATTTAGAATTGCCTAAACAGAGACCGTTGGCCCCCACAGAAAGCAACTCTACTCACAAATCACAATGATGGATGAACAGTTTCTGTTTTGTTTGTGCAGGACTCGTGGTCTTTGATTGTTCTCAGCTGAAGTTTAATGAATATCAATAATATATATTTATAAGAAATTTCAAAGATTTATATACAAAGTGAAGTGGTAAAAAATGAATAGAAGAGTGAAAACAAAAGTCAAACTTATTAAATCACTTTTCCATTCATTTTTTGCCACATCACTTTGTATGAGAATCTGTAAGATTTTGTGAAGTGTAGCATTACTCAATGAATATTGTGATCCAGTTTAAAGATAATGTTAGGTTGTGGCCCCTTATTCTGAAGACTCTAACTTTTTGAGCACATGGTTGGTTGATGAGAGTTAAACTCAGTCTTGCAAGCTTTTGGCTTGTTTGTGCACTAGTTTGCAACTCTGTTTTACTTGTAATATCTTATATTACCCAATCCATTCATTTTATATAAATGAAGAAAATATATTAGAGCGCATTTGTGGAAAAGCATGTTGTATTTATACTGTTTATATAGACTTCCACTGGTTCGAGATTAAAGACAGAAAACAAAGTGAGGGTGGACTCTCCCATTGTGTTCGTTAGGGGTGTTTGCGTACCTCAATTATTAATTAATTATTAAAAAGAGAGAAAGTTCTTATTTTTGCAAGTCGGGGAGTCGTCCATACTTGGTAGTGATATATGTGTAAGTGTACTTGGAAAAGAGAGTAGAGAGATTGACTAATCGGTAAGTGATCATGATGACCCACGCACGTTGAAGGCATGGTGTGGTCAGGTGTCGGTGACCATGTATAATGTCAACAATACTTTAATGCCAATTCATATGCATTTCTTAAGCAGACATCATCTCTCTCCCTCTTTTAATTTTGTTTAGTGTCACCCATACACAATCCCATATGTTGCCATGAGTTTGGCTTGTTTACATTGTACCTGGGAGGATTTTTAGCCTTTTTGTACGGCTGCCAGTGCTGGGAATTATGACACAGTAATGGGCAAGCAGCCCCTACTCAGAAAACACCAGTAACCTCCTTTTATTTACCATCAATGAGGGCATATTGTAAATCCTTGTTTATTACTTTGTATGGAGCTCAGACGGCAAGACTTGTAATTCTTCTTGTCTTGGGAAAAAGGCAAGGCATTTAACATCAAAATGGCAAAACAATATATTAATTTGGTTAAAAGAGAGCAGACTTGGTCACAAAGCATGATATTGGTTGCTCCAGCGTATTTTTCACGGACTGCGATAGTTCAACCTATATAAAAATAAAATTTGAAGCATCAATTTCAAATATTTTTTTAATAGAATAATCAAATTGCAGCTTTCACAGTCTGTGAAATTTTCTTGATGTTTTCGAGTTAATGGTAACACGAGTGGACTCGGGGATTTAAGGGTTAACCAGGCCACATACACCTCTGTTTTGTCTTGCCTTTTTTCAGCATAAAGTAGAATCTCTATTGCATTATCGCTTTCATAATTTAAAGAAAAGCCATTGGTTTTGGCAAATACGCGTACAATTAAAAAGTACTCAATTTTACTTTCTTTAGTGTATATATATATATATAACAAAGCGTCTTTATAACTCAATATAAATACGCGTACAATTAGAAAGTACTCAATTTTACTTTCTTTAGTATATATATATATATATAACAAAGCGTCTTTATAACTCAATATATATTATATACTGTATATGTATTCTTTTACCTTCCAAAGACAACTTTCATCTATGCCTAATGAGTAAAATACATTTATTTTTATAATAATATAACTTCAAAGGGAGGTGGAAAGAGATGTAGGACCTTACCGGACCCGTAGCCCAAAAGGGTACAATACAAATCACTGAAGAACTGGAACCAATGTGAATCAGTCAGAAAAATTCTTGACTAAGTTCACTTTCTCGGGCTCTGCAGCCCCTGCCCCTCCTCTCTTAAAATTTCTTTTTATAATCAAAACCGTGTTTCAAGTTTTAAATCTCAAATCTTACTCTCAATAAAAACCAAACACCTCTCACTCCCTCTTTCCAAATCTTTTCTCGACAAAAAAATTATGCCTCCTAAATCGCCTCTATTCTTTCCTTTCCTCTTACTCCTACTTACTCTCTTAACCATCGCCACCAATGCCACTCAACATTTCAAAGAAGCTCCCCAGTTCTACAATTCCCCGGACTGTCCTTCCCTTTTTTGTGATGACGAAGATACTGAAACCACCGTTTTCTGCTCCGATCAAGCCATCCACGTCGCTATGACCCTTGATTCTACCTACATTCGTGGTTCCATGGCAGCTGTTCTTTCTGTCCTCCAACACTCCTCTTGTCCCCAAAATATTGCCTTCCATTTTGTTGCTTCTGCCTCTGCCAACACCTCACTTCTACGTGCCACCATCTCCTCTTCCTTCCCTTATTTAAATTTCCGGGTTTATTCATTTGATGACTCCGCCGTCTCTGGACTCATTTCTACATCAATTCGTTCAGCTCTCGATTGCCCTCTAAACTACGCTCGCAGTTATTTAGCCAATATTTTACCTTTATGCGTAAGACGAGTTGTTTACCTTGACTCGGATTTAGTCCTGGTGGATGATATAGCCAAACTTGCAGCCACTGATCTTGGTAAAAATTCAGTGCTTGCTGCTCCAGAATATTGTAATGCCAATTTCACTTTATATTTTACACCGTCCTTTTGGTCTAATCCCTCCCTGTCTCTAACTTTCGCAAACCGTAAAGCTTGTTATTTTAACACTGGTGTAATGGTGATCGATCTTGATCGGTGGAGAGGAGGTGATTATACGACCAAGATTGAAGAATGGATGGAGCTACAAAAGAGAATGAGAATATACGAATTGGGTTCATTGCCTCCATTCTTGCTAGTATTTGCAGGGAATATAGTGCCAGTTGATCATAGATGGAATCAACATGGACTTGGTGGGGATAATTTTAGAGGGCTTTGCAGGGATTTACATCCGGGTCCTGTTAGTCTTTTACACTGGAGTGGTAAAGGTAAGCCATGGGCTAGGCTCGATGCTAACCGCCCCTGCCCCTTGGATGCTCTGTGGGCTCCTTATGATCTCCTACAGACTCCATTTGCTTTGGATTCTTGAGAAAAAAATAATTTCAATAGTCAAGTTATGTTTCTCAAGAAGGNAAATATTTCAGGTACCTCACTGTTCCCTCCCATCGCATGTACCATAGCAGCTAACAAATCAACATCTGCTAGTGAAAAACAGAGCGTTTTCAAATTAATATTTGCAAATTAATCACACAAGCTGGAGGAACATATAAAGGAACATATAAATAATCAAAGCAAATATATAAACAATACCCGTAGTTGCACTTTAATATGTTTTAATAATCTGTAAAAGTTCATCTTTATCTAGGATTTAATAGTCTCCAAACAATTTAGCCATACCGCTGAGTGAACCATAAATACTGGAGCAGGAGTTACAAGGCTGGACGCATACACAAATCCTTCAGTTTTCTGGCGGATTTTATCTCAAAAAAAAATCGATGGCTTCGGTGGTTCCAAGATATAAGACATGGAAGCAACATTCTGAAAACCCAACTGCAGTCTGAAATGCGGTCCAAGTCCCAAATACCAGCACGCATTAATGATCTCGGTGTTTCATCCTCCGCGGGACAAGAACCTGACAGGTTGTGACATTTCAACAAATGAAAGCATTGTCATAAAGTAACAGCATAATCTCCATCCAGAAATATTCCACTAGGGCCACTTGAAGTTCGGATGTGTGCTCATGAGTGTGTCGGTGACAGTGAGTATGTCTGAACCCACTATTAGGCACTGGTAACAAAATATGGCCTGCTAGAAACAATAAATTTTTTTAGCTGAAGTATCCACAAAGAGATCAAAACAATCTACACAAGACAACAATTTGAGAATCTGCTTATAATAATCTCCCCTCTCCTGTCAGCAAAACGGGGGGTGGGCCGGATATGGGTCGGGTCAAACGAGTACAGGCATTTATACAGATCGATATATACGAGTTCAATATTTTAGACCTGCCCTACCTTAACCGGTACGGTGGACCCGTTTTTTTCTCTCTCCGATTTTAGTTTTTATTTCACCCCTAATAGTTTTCATTAGACAATTACACCCCCAAAATTCCTGCAGTTTTAATTTTTACATTTACACCCCTAAATCAACTACGCTAAATTCAATTCAATTAAAAATTAAACAAATAGGAACCAAAAAAAACAAATAACACATAAACAAACAATAACATATAACAACCAATAATGGTGTGTATGTATATCGTTACATCAATTCAACCAACTAAGAAAACAAATATACCTGGCCATAGCATTTGCAATAGGTACTACATTTAACAAACTTGATAATTTTTTTCCCTACAGGAATCCTGTTGCTTACATTACTCGTGCAACCACAAAACTTGGAACAAAGCTAGCTCCCTTCATGGCAGCTTTTTCATCAGGGACCCAAAGTAACCCCAGAGTGCTTAAGGTATAATTGGCAACTCAGTTTCCTTAAACATAGATCTTGAGCCATCTGAATGGGTAATAATTAGATTTGTACATAGTTTCAGCCTGATATCACAGCTCCAGGTGAGTGTTCACCTGATTGGAGTCCTGCAGCAATTAATCTGTAATGACTTCATCTATAATGAGTTGGAAATTTCTAACTCCTTCAGCTTAGAAAGTCATGATAAAAGTGGAAAATTAGAGGTTAAATAAATTGCCAAACATAAAAATTTAGAGACAACAATTCATGCCAAATTCTTCACTCGGTCTCAACTAAAAAAAAAAAGCATATAAACTATTTATCGAAAAGACGGTTAAAAACTACTAAAAAACACACCATAGAAACAAAAAACAACGAAAAACACAACCCAGCTAACATAATCAATTCAAAAAATCAGCAAACAAATAGTTAAATTCTAGGGTAGCATGGCATTCATGGCTCATTTTGGAGAAAAATAAATAAAAAAATCCACGTAAACCATCATTAGCAACTACACTAAAGACAGTAGAAAAACTTACCATGAACAATGGAGCTATGTAATAATCTCCTTGAAGATAATCAAACGATCTCGTCACCTTCTGCTATATCAAACACAATATCCGCTGCAATAAATGAATCAAGAAATTTCACAATTTTAACTAATCCAAATAACTTGTAAGAACAATTTAGGAATACCACCTCACATGGTAGCCAATACAAAAGCTTCTTCCCAAATCTTGAGCATAAAATACTCATGTAATTGACGATTCAATTCATTCAAACAAATAATTAAATGGAAGCCACTAGAAAAGTTTCCGATTCTCCATTCCCTGAACTCTACATTGATTCTTGCAATTTGGTAAATTTCCTCTCTGCCCAAACAACTCAAACCAAATTGTATCTAATTTATTCTCACGTTTTCACATTTCCTCTCCCACAACTAAAACCAGATTAAAACTAAGTACAATTATAATTTTCTCACTTTTTCATATTTGCTCTCTGTCCACAACACTCAAACTAGATTAGAACTAAATTAAATTCACATTTCTCTCACTTTCTCACATTTTCTTTCTACCCAATTTTCTCCGCCCAAACAACTCAAAGAAGATTAAAACCAGAAAATTCTATTTTCTTCCACTTTCTCAAATTTTCTCTCCGTCAAATAACTCAACCAGATTAAGAATAAATAAATTCTCATTTTCTCATGTTTCTTTCCATCCAAACAAGTCAAACATAAAACTAAAGTAGAAATTATAATTTGCTCTCACTTTCTCATTTTCTCTCCGTCTAACAACTCAAATATTATCAAAAGTAAGTACAATTATTGAAAGTATTTCATTTCATTAAAAGTTTTCAGACTGGATTTGGACCGTTCACTTTTCTTCCTACTATCTCTTATTAGCCATTCATGTCATTTGGCTGTTCTTCGCTACTCTCATTTTGTCTCCGCTCAACAACTCAAACTAGATTAAAACGAGTCAAATAAGTGAAAGTATTCATATCTTTCAAAGCTAATCATTTAAAAAATTTGTGCAAACATCAGTCACCATTTTAAGGAAAAACAGTTTTGGTAATATAAATTTCAGTGACTAGCAAATACACATAACCGATAATAATTGATTCCAGTATACATCCCTTATCCATTTAAGTAAACCCCACTGCAAAACCCATCAACCAGGAACCCAACACAAACACACTCAAACACTAGATCGACGTACAGGAAAGCTCACACAGAATCTGTCAAAAAAATAAAAACAACACAGAAATTAGGTTAAGGATTCATTACCAGCCGACGAGAATGAGTGATCGACCGACGACTATGGTACTGCCGAACTAGGAATGGGAATGACGGACGGTGATGAACTGACGAACTGACAAAGGGAGACACAGAGACAGGGAGTTGAACTTTAGGCACGAAGAAGACTGATGACTGATGAGAGATGAGAGGCAGAGAGATTTGAGTTACTGAGAGTCTGAGAGATGAGATGCGGACGATCTGAGACTGGAAGATCAGAGATGAGATGAGATGGAGACTGTGAGAGGCGTGAGCTTGAATGCTATGAAAACTTAGGGATTCAAATTCACTAGTGAACTATGATGAATAGTGACCAACAAATACGAGTGCCCGAAGATGCCCGCGGGTTCACCTTATAAACCATGAGTATTTGACCGGATACGGGTACGGGTCTCAAAAAATGGTTTAATGTATTGGATCCGTACCCTATATTTTTACTCGTCGGCCGACCCGCGGGTCCAGACCCGTTTTGCCAGGTCTATGACAAGCAGTTCCATCCTTTGTTCAACTTAATCACTATCCGAAAATTTCGAGCAGAGTAATACAGAAGGTTATTCTACATAAAGATTGGTACACAGAAATAGGGTTCATGGTACTGATTGAACAAGTCTTGCTTTGCGTCGCCATTGGATATGTGGATTATGTTATACGTGACAATTTCTCAAATCTTGCCGTCTAATGTCATTTTCCAAAATTATGTCAATAATAATTCCCCACATAATCTCAATCTCCTTTAAATATCTTCTGTTTAAAATACAAAAAATTAGTTTTGGACTATAAGATATAATTCAAAATTTTGAATTTATATATTTAATATCTATAATAACATTTTTTTTGTTGGGTATCTTCGAAATTTTGTTGTTATAATTTAAATGACCTATATAGAGTATAATAGTATCTAAGTCCGTGGATTTTAAATCCAATGGTAATATTACTTTAGTAGTTATGAATATGAAGAGTGTGTATGTGCGGTGCTTGATTGATTTTACAGTATTTAAATATTTATAACAGCGAATTGGTTGACGGTGGAGGTGGAAAGTCATGGTCAAGAGTTGGTAGCGATGCCAGATCTAAAACTAGAAGTTTTCTTTGGGTTTTACAATCTCAAACTATTCTTTCATAGACTTTTTAAGTCATCAAATAAATTATTTTAAAAAACGCGTTTGTGTGCGGAATCAAACCCTAACAACAACAGTAATACTACACTTACCGATTAAGCTACCGATTTTCACATACCGACCCACCTGTCCAATTACCCAAATCTCAAAATTTAACTCAATTCACATGAGTCAGTATGTCAAATCGGTAGTTTAATCGGTAACTCAAACATTATTGTAACAACAAAATAAGATGAAGAAGCAAATTTATGGAGCCATAACCTCAATGGTTCGTATGACGGTTAAGGATGTTTATTCATTTCTTTAAATTTTTAAATTTAAACCTTGGGATCATCAACTATAATAACATTATGATTTATTTAGACCTTTAAGTTTATAGGGTGTTCAACAGACTTCGAGGATTAGTTGAAATACCCGTAAACTGGTTGGACATCGTGGTTATTAAAAAAAAAAAAAGAAATTTCATGGAGCCATGCCTTGCTTCACAGCCTGATCCTTGTGACTTTTTCTTTAGTCTTTCATATGCACATCTTTAGTTATATGAGCTTCGGAAGCTTCATTATTATTCTAATAATGGATGGTTAAACTAGCTAAAGACTTGTATTAACTGAGACTTTTCACCATGCATGGTTACATATATCTGTTAATTAAGTATGATTTATTATGTTTAAAGATAGTTTGGATAACTTAAAACTTGAAGAGGATGAGAGAAAGACTGAAAGAGACTGCATAACCAATAAGCATCAGAAATTTTTTTCCATTTAAATATTGCTGTTGGCTTGTGAAATAAGCACATTTTTGTTGAAAATCATACGATTGAACATGTTCCACACGTACTTTAATTTCTTGGACATAATTGAAGCAAGTATTTTGTAGTTTTATGGGGGATTGACTCAAATCCATTGAATAAATAATTTCTTTCTTCCTCTTCTTCATGTGGAAAGGAATTTGTACCTTAAGAAATAATAAGGTTTTTGTAACTAGATATTTCTGTAAAAGCAATATTAAAATTATAAGAGGTATCTCTCTGTATGAAGTAAAGCAATGGTTAGAACCGATTTTGGTGTATTTCTAGATATGGCTATTTCTTCTCCTCTTTCACATATCATGGACGTACCTGAGAATCTAAGTAACAGCCCTTCCCTGCCCAGTTAGATGGGCCGCATCTTTCTGTCTACCAATCTTTCATATTCTAAGTTGTCACTTGTATTAGATGATAATGTTTACCTTACAGAGTAAACGTATCATTTTTCTAACTCAAGAACACCACTTGTTTTGTGAGAATGTCAATTTTCATCGTTGCTAGTTTTCTACTTTTCTTCCAATGATAAATCACGACCACACCCCTCACTGTAATTGAATAATTATATTGAACTCTAACCCCACTCAAACGATTGGGTGTAGGTTTAAGTCCATGTATGACTGCGACTGTGATGGGCATCTCATCTCATCTCATAGAAAGTTGGCTTTAAGAGTCGGTGAAATTTTATATTCTTCCCTCTTGTCATTTCAATTATTAAACGAAAAGGAGAACATGAATGGAGTGTGATGGATGCAATACGACGACATTCATATTCATAGTCTGTATCCGCCTTCAGCTCCCACCAACTTTACCATAATTTGCTTCATACTAGACAGTTTAAGCTTCCTACTTACTGCACATTAATGTGGACCTTTTCTACCCGGTTTCAAAATGACCCACTAACTTATGTACTATAAATAAACTACGTTATGAATGGTCTAAATTTCTGAATCAATTGGTTGAGACATTACTAAAGCATTCTCCCTTTTAGTTGACAAAATAACATTAATCTAACATCAACCAGTGTGTAATAATATATTTTGTATATGGAGCCAAAAAGTTTGCAGAAAATGCAATGGGCAGATGCATGATACTTACATTAATTAATGATCCTGATAATTCACTAGTGTAATTTTGTTATCAATCTTTGTGTATGAAAAGTAGACCTGGCAAAACGGGTGGGTGGGCCGGATATGGGTCGGGTCAAACGAGTACAGGCATTTATACAGATCGATATATACGAGTTCAATATTTTAGACCCGTGCCCTACCTTATACCGGTACGGGTGGACCCGTTTTTTTCTCTCTCCAGATTTTAGTTTTTATTTCACCCCTAATAGTTTTCAATTATGACAATTACACCCCCAAAATTCCTGCAGTTTTAATTTTTTACATTTATACCCCCTAAATCAACTACGCTAAATTCAATTCAATTAAAAATATAAACAAATAGGAACCAAAATAAACAAATAACACATAAACAAACAATAACATATAATACAACCAATAATGGTGTGTATGTATATCGTTACATCAATTCAACCAACTAAGAAAACAAGCATACCTGGCCATAGCATTTGCAATAGGTACTACATTTAACAAACTTGATAATTTTTTTCCCTAACAGGAATCCTGTTGCTTACATTACTCGTGCAACCACAAAACTTGGAACAAAGCTAGCTCCCTTCATGGCAGCTTTTTCATCAAAGGGACCCAAAAGTAACCCCAGAGATGCTTAAGGTATAATTGGCAACTCAGTTTCCTTAAACATAGATCTTGAGCCATCTGAATGGGATAATAATTAGATTTGTACATATGTTCAGCCTGATATCACAGCTCCAGGAGTGAGTGTTCAGCCTGATTGGAGTCCTGCAGCAATTAAATCTGTAATGACTTCAATCTATAATGAGTTGGAAATTTCTAACTCCTTCAGCTTAGAAAGTCATGATAAAAGTGGAAAATTAGAGGTTAAATAAATTAGCCAAACATAAAAAATTTAGAGACAACAATTCATGCCAAATTCTTCACTCGGTCTTCAACTAAAAAGAAAAGAAAGCATATAAACTATTTATCGAAAAGACGGTTAAAAACATACTAAAAAACACACCAATAGAAACAAAAAAACAACGAAAAACACGAACCCAGCTAACATAATCAATTCAAAAAATCAGCAAGACAAAATAGTTAAATTCTAGGGTAGCATGGCATTCATGGCTCATTTTGAGAAAAATAAATAAAAAAATCCACGTAAACCATCATTAGCAACTACACTAAAGACAGTAGAAAAACTTACCATGAACAATGGAGCTATGTAATAATCTCCTTGAAGATAATCAAACGATCTCGTCACCTTCTGCTGATAATCAAACACAATATCCGCTGCAATAAATGAAATCAAGAAATTTCACAATTTTAACTAATCCAAATAAACTTGTAAGAACAATAATTTAGGAATACCACCTCACATGGTAGCCAATACAAAAGCTTCTTCCCAAATACTTGAGCATAAAAAATACTCATGTAATTGACGATTCAATTCATTCCAAACAAATAAATTAAATGGAAGCCACTAGAAAAGTTTCCGATTCTCTCAATTCCCTGAACTCTCAGATTTCTTGCAATTTCGTAAATTTCCTCTCTGCCCAAACAACTCAAACCAAATTGTATCTAATTTATTCTCACGTTTTCACATTTCCTCTCCCAACAACTAAAACCAGATTAAAACTAAGTACAATTATAATTTTCTCACTTTTTCATATTTGCTCTCTGTCCAAACAACTCAAACTAGATTAGAACTAAATTAAATTCCAATTTTCTCTCACTTTCTCACATTTTCTTTCTACCCAATTTTCTCCGCCCAAACAACTCAAAGAAGATTAAAACCAAGAAAAATTCTTATTTTCTTCCACTTTCTCAAATTTTCTCTCCGTCAAAATAACTCAACCAGATTAAGAATAAATAAAATTCTCATTTTCTCATGTTTCTTTCCATCCAAACAAGTCAAACAATAAAACTAAAGTAGAAATTATAATTTGCTCTCACTTTCTCATTTTCTCTCCGTCTAAACAACTCAAATATATATCAAAAGTAAGTACAATTATTGAAAGTATTTCATATCATTAAAAGTTTTTCAGACTGGATTTGGACCGTTCACTTTTCTTCCTACTATCTCTTATTAGCCATTCATGCTCATTTGGCTGTTCTTCACTACCTCTCATTTTGTCTCCGTCCAAACAACTCAAACTAGATTAAAACTGAGTCAAATAAGTGAAAGTATTTCATATCTTTCAAAGCTAATCATTTAAAAAATTTGTGCAAAGACATCAGTCAACATTTTTAAGGAAAAACAGTTTTGGTAATATAAATTTCAGTGACTAGCAAATACACATAACCGATAATAATTGATTCCAGTATACATCCCTTATACATTTAAGTAAACCCCACTTGCAAAACCCATCAACCAGGGGAACCCAACACAAACACACTCAACGACATAGATCGACGTACAAGGAAAGCTCACACAGAATCTGTCAAAAAAATAAAAACAAACACAGAAAATTAGGGGTTAAGGATTCATTACCAGCCGACGAGAATGAGTGATGGCGACCGACGACTATGGTACTGCCGAACTAGGAATGGGAATGACGGACGAGTGATGAACTGACGAACTGACAAAGAGGGAGACACAGAGACAGGGAGTTGAACTTTAGGCACGAAGAAGACTGATGACTGATGAGAGATTGAGAGGCAGGAGAGATTTGAGTTACTGAGAGTCTGAGAGATGAGATGCGGCCACGATCTGAGACTGAGAGATCAGAGATGAGATGAGAGTGAGACTGTGAGAGGCGTGAGCTTGAATGCGTGATGAAAACTTAGGGATTCAAATTCACTAGTGAACTGAATAGTGAATAGTGACCAACAAATACGAGTGCCCGCAGATGCCCGCGGGTTCACCCGTATAAACCATGAGATATTTGACCGGATACGGGTACGGGTCTCAAAAAAATGGGTTTAATGTATTGGATCCGTACCCTATATTTTTTACTCGGGTACGGGCCGACCCGCGGGTCCAGACCCGTTTTGCCAGGTCTAATGACAAGCAGTTCCATCCTTTGTTCAACTTAATCACTATCCGAAAATTTCGAGCAGAGTAATACAGAAGGTTATTCTACATAAAGAGATTGGTACACAGAAATATTTCAGGTACCTCACTGTTCCCTCCCATCGCATGTACCATAGCAGCTAACAAATCAACATCTGCTAGTGAAAAACAGAGCGTTTTCAAATTAATATTTGCAAATTAATCACACAAGCTGGAGGAACATATAAAGGAACATATAAATAATCAAAGCAAATATATAAACAATACCCGTAGTTGCACTTTAATATGTTTTAATAATGTGTAAAAGTTCATCTTTATCTAGGATTTAATAGTCTCCAAACAATTTACCCATACCGCTGAGTGAACCATAAATACTGGAGCAGGAGTTACGAGGCTGGAGGCATACGATTTTATCTCAAAAAAAAATCGATAGCATCAGTGGTTCCAAGATATAAGACATGGAAGCAACATTCTGAAAACCCAACTGCAGTCTGAAATGCGGTCCAAGTCCCAAATCCCAGCACGCATTAATGATCTTGGTGTTTCATCCTCCGCGGGGCAAGAACCCGACAGGTTGTGACATTTCAACAAATGAAAGCATTGTCATAAAGTAACAGCATAATCTCCATCCAGAAATATTCCACTAGGGCCACTTGAAGTTCGGATGTGTGCTCATGAGTGTGTCGGTGACAGTGAGTATGTCTGAACCCACTATTAGGCACTGGTAACAAAATATGGCCTGCTAGAAACAATAAATTTATTTTGCTGAAGTAACCACAAAGAGATCAAAACAATTACACAAGACAACAATTTGAGAATCTGCTTATAATAATCTCCCCTCTCCTGTCCCAGAAGAAAAACAAAGTATACAAAAATTAACCAAAAATCTCTTCCTAGTTGAGATGAATAGCTGATGAGGAGTCTTGAACTTCCTTCAAAACCGAAGTCCACAAAATGCCACTAGTATGGTGTGCTACAATGTTAAAGAGTTCCACCATTTAGAAACACATCAATCTTGTTCTGTCTTCAATCCGATACACATCATCGAAATAACTTTTATCATGAAGAATTCACAAATGCCCATTTATAAGTCCGAGACCAACAACATACAAGGAAATGACAATTCCTAAACGTTTTATAAGAACGCTGATATCTTTAACTTTATCAAATTAAAAACAAGTCTTCTGTTCCATTTTCATTCTTTTTAATCTGAACTTCTAAGCTCGCCAAAGTTTAAAACTGAAGGTAATAACAAAACCGCAGTACATACCAGATCACTTCTTTGGAGCATGAATGCTGCATGATCCAGCACTGTCTTTGAAAAGTTCTTAACCAAAATCACTCTTACACAATTTCTCTCTTTAGATTTGTGGGGTCGCTTCAAACTTAATTTTATCACATTTTAAGAAATTTGGCATACATGTTGACATCATTTTCTGCAAAGAAAATAAACAGCACACCAACTTGATGCAGATGATTGCTATATATAATAGAATGAAGAATATTTACAGATTCCAAACAGTTTAAGCATACAGATAAAACTTGAAAGAGAAAGCCATTTTCTACCTTTGCACAAGAGCAAGAGTGTGAGCTGATTCATGCTAAAAATAGTTTCACACTCCCAAGTTTTAGATTGGTCATGCTAAAAACTTGTTCATACTCCCAAATTAGTTCCAATTATAAGAAAAAAACAAGTAATTAGGCTTCCAAACTACCTTTTTCTGACATAGCACTCAGCAGCCAAATTTTGGGACCAAGCGAATGATTATATCCTGCACCATGTGAATCATCTTTACTTGGGGAATCTTGCAAACAAGAAGTAAACACATCTGTGCTTCTGATGCACATTACCTGGGGTCTTGATGATCAATGAGAAGTACGTGGGCCTCCTGTCTCAGAGCTTGAAAGTCCAAAGGCAATGGCCAAACTCAAAATCATCCCTACCAATGACATAGTCCATTGATCATTCATCAACAAGCAGCTTGAGAAACATCATATGAGTCAGGCAAAGCAGCAGACTCTGTCATCTCAATTGGTTTATCATAGACAACACTAGATGGGAAACAACTGAAATGCATCATGTTATGAAGCTTGGAGATCTTCTTTACATCTCCGCATTTAACAGAACCTAGGACCAACTTAGATAACATGACAAGATTTTGATCCACGCCTAACTTAATCATCTGACCTAAAAGCTTCATTGATTCTTCTCTATCTCCTTGCTCACAAAGTGCTTTTATCAAGGTAGAGTAGGTAATAACGGAAGGAGCAATCCCTTCTTTAATCATTTTGCATTTCAAATTAAAGGCCTTTTGGGTATTACCAGTTTTACAGTAACCATCAATCAGAATATTATAGGTTATGACATTAGGGGCCAACCCTTTCAGGTGAAGTTTGTGGAAAAGCCTCAGTGCTCGGTCCAGTTTTCCTGATTTACACAAACCGTTTATTAGAGCATTGTATGTGGCAATGTTTGGAACGAGAGCCCTTTTCAGCATTTCATCCCGTAACTTGAAAGCTTCAGTGACATCACCAGCAGCTGCATAGGCATGAATCAGGGTACAGTAGGTAAAATTGTCTGGAGTAAAGCCCGAAAGCAACAAAGCTGAGAAAACACTTCTTGCATCATCAACCTTCCCAGACTTGCAGAGTCCGGCAATAGCTATATTGTACACCACATTGTTGGGCATATCAAAACTTTTGGCACTTTCATCAAGGGAGTCGGCAATTTTCTGAGCATCCAGACTAATAACATCGGTCTTGAGGAGTTTGAGATTTGGAAAAAGATCAAAATCCACAATTTTCAGCAAAAGCATATTTGCTTCATCAATCCTACCAAGTCCAAACAGGGTGCTAACAATTTTGCTGCACATAATCACATTTGAGGCAAATCCCTTCTCTGTCATCTCGAAATATGCAGTAAAAGCTTTATCCAGCATCCCTACATCACACCAACCAATAACAAGGGCCCCATAGGTTACAGCATTAGGTGATAACCCTGAATTCTGCATTTCAGCAAGAAGATCCACCACTATACTTAATTTCCTAGACCTAAAGGCTCCACTAATAAGAGAATTATACATTTCAATGGAAGGAAAAACCGCTTCCCTTTCCATTACATTTTTAATCTTAAAAGCTTCTTCAATATTTCCAACTTTACAATAGCCATCACTAAGGATTCTATATGTTACTTTGTCAGGCAAACATCCCAACTCCTTCATCCTGTCAAAAATCTGCTGTGCTTCAATCATTTTTCCCATCTTACATAATCCATTAATCATTGTATTGAAAGCAATTGTGTTTTTGGAGAAACCCCTGGCTAATATATTGTTCCAAAGTCTTATTGCGCCATCGAGATCTCCCATCTTGAACAAAATGTCAAGCAGAGTACAATAGCCAACCACATTAGGAGGCACACCTCTTTTCAACATCATACACCACAGGTGCAAAGCATCATCAAATGCACCCACACGACGCAAACCTTTGAGAAGAGTATTATAAGTAACAACAGTAGGAGGGATTCCTTCACGAAGCATCTCATCACAAAGCTTGAAGGCCTCACTCATATTATTTAATCTGCAATACCCATCCAGTAATGTATGATAACTGAACGAATCTGGCCTTAAGTTCCAATCTCCCATACATCTTAACACTCGTTTTGCTTGACTAATTTGACCAAGTTTACAGTGGCCATTAATTAAAGAGTTACAAATAAGCAGATTCATCTTCAACCCTGCCTTCAGCATCTCATTCCGAACCCTATTAGCATCGTCAACTTTACCTACTCTACAATACCCATCTATCAGAACCCCATAAGCACATTCATCGACGACAATATCCTGCTCATCATTCATCCTTTGAAGTACCTTCTCGGCTTCCTCCATCTTACCTTGTTTGCAATAACCCTTAATCAACAATGTATATGAAACCACATTTCTCGAAATCCCCTTTTCACACATCAATTCTAACACCTCTTTTGCACCCTTAATATCTCCTAAACCAACATATCCATGCATCAAACTATTGTAAGACACCACATTCAATTCGAACCCCAGATTCTCCATTTCCTTCACGAACTCCACAGCCTTTTCCACCCTCTTCTCCTTACAATACGCATTAACCATTATTGAACACGTAAAAACATCGGGCACAATCCCAACTCTAATCATTTGCTCATAAACACGCAACGCAATATACGTTTCATCCCTTTTAACCAAATTACTTAACAAAGAATTACAAGACCTCAAACTTGGGACACGGCCATACTTTCCCATATTATCGAACACGTGCAATGCATTCTTTAGCATGCCTCTCTCAGCATAAATTTTCAATATCATATCGAAAACAAGAGGCGAAAATGTAAATTCATTATAAACCTTAACGAGCTCATCCCAAATTAAGAACCCTGAATAATTATTCCGACATAAGCCAACCAATTCGTGTAAACACTCTCGGGTTTCATCGTACATTCGAGCACGTGACAAGATGTGAACAATCTTGCAATAAGACTTAATACTTGGCCTGAAATTTTGTTGCTTTGAAGCTAATTCAAAAAACCCCAAGCAAGCCTTAGGATTTAGTCTTAGTTTCTGCAGCACTGAATCGAGGAGATCATCTGAGTAGTCAAAAGAAAGGTTGCTAAGGGCCTCGTAACGACCCAGGACAAGGATACGAGTAATCCGTTCGATCAATTCGGGTTGGCTTAGCTTGTATTCGTGGCGGGGCTTCCAGTGGAGGAAACGGCGCGCGTGAAGACGAGAGAGATGGTGAAGAGTGGAAAATAGAGAGTACCTGAGCATTGCAGGAGAGAAAATTTTGATATTGTAGTTGTTGTTGAAGACACTGCATCTTAACATCGATAAAATTATCAGCCATTAGTTCTGAAGCAACGAATGCATTTTGAAGGTGCTTTGGGGACGATGAGTGGAGCAAGTGAAATGGTGCTGTGTTCTTACTAAACGTTTGTTGCTGAGAGTTTACATATCGTTAAGCCCGTAAAGGTAGTTGAGTTCTTGTTCTTATTATGGGCCTCATATTCTAGGACCCATTGCCCACCTAAACACAAATTCCTGCATCCACTAAGCCCACTTACACAACAGAGCCTTGTGACCAATAGAAGAGGGAGACATGAGAGTAATTGACACGGGAGATGACCGAAGTTTGCTGATTACACATCTGTGATGCTCAATCGTCAACATATATTGAAAATTATTAGGTCCCTTTTCCACTTTTCATACGGAGATCTTTCTTCTTTTACCGTCTAAGAAGGTTTAACTGGTGTGAATTGGTCAGTGGTCGATGGAAAAATAAGGCTACATCAATGCAATGGTCATCCTTGATTCTTCCAGGAAATTTCCTTCTTTTCTACTATATCTGCACTGTCAACAGCAAAAGTTAATCAAGGAGATAAGTTAAATCATCCACTCACTTTCTATCCATGAAGGGTCCAGAAGACTCGGGAATTAAAGCAAACCAAAGACTTTCCTATCACTTTCCGCTAATCAATAAATCAACAACCATCTGTGTAAGATAGTCATCCTCTCAAGTATCGCCCATCACTTTTGGAAAAGCAATCTGCATTGTTATTTAATGCCTTAAACCTTTTAAGCATATATCCGATTACCACGCAATTTCTACCAAGACTCTTCCTGGCTTTTAGTCTCCAAGTTGTGCAAAGGTCCTCGTCCTAAGGGGTAAATCGTAAACTTATGCTATCTTTTTTTCTTCTATATATATAACCATACATTGTTCTTTGTATCTGAAAACCGGTTAATAATGGCAGCTGGTAGCTCCAAATGGTTTTCCAATAAGAGTTTGAAGCTTATAAGACTTCCTGGTCTGCGCTCAAAATCCAGGTCCTCAACCTCAAGCTCTACAACATCATCTCCCCTTGTTTCACAAAAAAAAAGCTCCAAAGAAGAGCAGCTTCAGCAAGTATTTCGCCACTTTGATAGTAATGGAGACGGACTGATTTCATGCGAGGAACTTCAATCATACTTCGAGTCTGTAGGTGAGTCCGTGTCTCATGATGAAGTTGAAAGGGTTATCAAAGATTTTGACGATAATTGCGACAACTTATTAGAATTTCAGGAATTTGTCCGATTAGTGGAAGGTAATAATAAGGAGGCAGATGATGATGATCTTAGAAGAGCTTTTCAGATGTTTGAAGCTGACAAGGGATCGGGGTGTATTACACCAAGAGGATTGCAACACATGTTAAATCGTTTAGGAGATGTGAGATCACATGAAGACTGTGTTTCAATGATTCGCGTCTTTGATCTTGATGGCAATGGAGTGCTTGATTTCCATGAATTTCGCCAAATGATGGCTTCCTCTTAACAACTCATTCTACCGTCTTTAGTTCAGGAGTTTTATGTTAATCATATCAGTCTCTACCAGGGAACGTGTATTTCCATATATTAATAGAAAGACTGATTACTCAGAATGGTGTGTTTGGTTTTGGAAATGTTATATTACTAAGGAATATTGTATTACTGTAAAGATAGATTATTAGGGAATCTTTAGAGAAATGTGTTTGATCGGTTAGAATAAATTAGTGAGTATGTTATAATAATATGTTTGGTTGGGGAAATAAATGAGTGGATATGTTATATAAATTATTAGATTGTCCTCTTTTTAAAATAATAATATACTATTATTTTTATTATTATTTTATTCTATTATTTTTTAAATTATTTCTTTTAACCCCTCTATATTTGAAATTTTACTAAAACACTCTAACCATATATAACTTTAATTTATAGCAAAATCACCCCCATTCATCCCAAGCCACCGCTGGTAGTCGCCATAATGGTGCACGACCGATCGGATCTAGCTGGTGTGCGCCGATAAGGCCTAATCCGACCAGATCTGGCCGTGAATATGACTGTTTCACGGTTAAATCTGGTTGTGGAAAGGCCAGATCTTTGGTCATGAAACGGCGACCATTTCATGGCCAGATCTATGGTGTTTCACAGCCACATCTTTGGCCGTGAAATGGCCAGATCTGGTCGTGAAATGGCCATGGATCACAAATCCATGGCCGAAAATGTCCTTATCAGCATACGACTGGTAAGATCCTATCGGTCTTGTGTCGATATGACGACTTTCGTCGGCGGCCAGCGGTGGCGGCTAGCAGCCGGCGATGGTCTTCAGTGGTTGAAAGTATTTTATTAACTTTTAAACTTTTTTATGACAAGGGTGTTTTAGCTAAATTCTCAAATGTAAGGAGTCTGGGTAATTGTTATTTGGTAGACATATGAGGGCAAATGTGTCCGAAATGATAAAAGATTAAGGGCAAAATACGGTCAAAATTAAGATTACCTCAATAATCTTATATTAACACATCTTGAGAAGGTAATCTGATTACCCCCAATATTACTAATAGTAAACACCATTTGCAATAAAAGATTATGTAATCTTTTATTACTTGACAACCAAATGGGGAACCTTGAAAATTAAACAAAGAGTACAAGATTAATCTTATATCACCCCGAACCAAATGCTATCGAAGATTATTGAGAATGTTTAGGGAAATGTATTTGATTGGTTGTAATAAATTGGTAAATATGTTATATTAATATGTTTGGTTGGGAGGAATAAATATACCCTCTTTTTTAAATATTAATATATTATTATTTTTTGAATCATTTTTTTAACTCTTTAAGTCTGAGATATATCTAAAACACCCAAAATACATAAAAGTTTAATTTCTAGCCAAATCACCCCCACCAACCCCAAGCCACTATCGGCTGCCTGCCACCACCGTCGACGACAGTAGCAGTGGCCGAAACGGCGCACAACCGGTCGTACGTCGATCTGGCCATTTTCGGCCAGATCTACAGCCATAATTGGTTGTTGTTAAAGGCTAAAAGCCATAGATCCGACCGATCATGCACTGTTCCGACGCCGACGGCCAACAGTGGTGGCCGGCCTTCAATCGTTGACAGTGTTGGCCAAATCCAGCCACCACCGTTAGGTATTTTTTTTAAAGTCTAATGTCCTAAAACTTTTGTATAGAAAGATAAAATAGTCTATTAGTATTTTTGTAAATTGTTTTTAAAACAAGGGCATTATTGTCTTAAAATTTTATTAATAGGAATAAAATTGTAACAAAATTAAGATTATAAAGTAATCTTAGAATACCTAGAAAAAATGAGAGTAATCAGACCACCTTCTATATTATCAACAGTAATTACTATTAGTTTTGGAAGATGACCGAATCTTATATTACTTGACAACCAAACATAATAATCAAATAATATAAGTTGACATTACCTCAATTATCACTGTCCGGTACTTTTGATGATGAAATATCAAATAAGTTAGTAAACTAAAGTTAAGTTTGTTAAACATGTAGATTTGTAATCGAAAAATCTGATGAATTATAGGTTAGTGCAAAAACTTGTACACGCTCCAAATAGTTGTGATTAAAACAGCATATGTTACTTCAGTTTGAAAAATCACCTCCGGGAATATTTGATACAATATAGGAGTTAGATGAAGATTAAAATTGAACTTTTATATAATTAAAAGAATCAAAATCACGTATGCGGTGGCAACAACATAGCCACAGGGCGCAAAAATCAGTAACTCTTAAGAAACTAATCTACAGAGTTTTGATTCCTACATGCTAGGGCCTCGGTTCAACTGTGTCAAAAGAAAAAAGAAGCAGAGTTGAAAGAATGTTGGATACTTGTACAAGTTCAGTATGGAAATCTCCCAGTCATGCGGATATGATCCAGGGTCCTTCCAAGCCCATATTTATTTACTGCCACCTGCCCTGCTCTGAATCCATCTCCATACACTGGGGAAGCGTCTGATACGATCTGGTGCTTAAAAAATTCTCCTAGCTTTCTCTCAAATTTCGATCTTGTCTGCCTCCTTGAATTTTTGGAGGATGAGGTTGATGCAACATTATTGCCTGAACTGGACCTGAGCTGGGCATCTAACCACATGTGTGCTAAAACCTGACAAATGCCTTCCTCAACATCTTGATTCAGAGTACGGAAACCTTATAAACAAACAATATATAAATATTAGTGTCTCCACAAGGCATCAAAAGAAAACATCCAAGGTCTTCATATTTCGGTATCATTTGATTGATTGAATGAACTGTGAAGTAAATATGAGGCACAAAATAAAAAATAAATAAATAGACGCATTTTAAATTCCATGAGATGGGATAAAAAGTACCTTGAAGTCGCATCCAAGCATGCATCATCTCATGGGCTAGGATTGACCCGGTAAGTAATCTGTGTAAACAGAAATTTCCAATCGCAGATCAAACACCCAGCCAATAATTACAATTGCAAAAACTCGTACATCTCATGACTAGATAAAAAATTGCAGAACTAATGCAGCAAGGTCGAACACATAAAAGGAAAGAGAAATGTGGAAATGCACGAGATGTAAAACGGTTTTACAAATTAGCTTTCATCTCATATCAACAATTAAGATTGACAAGCATGTAATAGTGTGCAGGAGCACGTGCGTGTGCTGTGTGTGGGTGGGTGCCTGGCTGGGATTAGATTTTTCCTTTAATGACTCTTAACAACCTATTTGCAGCTAACCATGGCAAGAAGTACGACCGTCATCGAACATCCACAGCCTTTTCCACCCTCTTCTCCTTACAATACGCATTAACCATTATTGAACACGTAAAAACTCAGGCACAATCCCAACTCTAATCATTTGCTCATAACACGCAACGCAAATACGTTTCATCCCTTTTAACCAAATTACTTAACAAAGATTACAAGACCTCAACTTGGGACACGGCCATACTTTCCCATATTATCGAACCCGTGCAATGCATTCTTTAGCATGCCTCTCTCGCATAATTTTCAATATCATATCGAAACAAGAGGCGAAAATGTAAATTCTTTAAACCTTAACAGGCTCATCCCAAATTAAGAACCCTGAATAATTATTCCGACATAAGCCAACCAATTCGTGTAAACACTCTCGGGTTTCATCGTACATTCGAGCACGTGACAAGATGTGAACAATCTTGCAATAAGACTTAATCTTGGCCTGAAATTTTGTTGCTTTGAAGCTAATTCAAAAAACCCCAAGCAAGCCTTAGGATTTAGTCTTATTTCCGCAGCACTGAATCGAGGAGATCATCTGAGTAGTCAAAAGAAGGTTGCTAAGGCCTCGTAACGACCCAGGACAAGTACGAGTAATCCGTTCGATCAATTCGGGTTGGCTTAGCTGTATTCGTGGCGGGGCTTCAGTGGAGGAAACGGCGCGCGTGAGACGAGAGAGATGGTGAAGAGTGAAAATGAGAGTACCTGAGCATTGCAGGAGAGAAAATTTGATATTGTAGTTGTTGTTGAAGCACACTGCATCTTAACATCGATAAAATTTCAGCCATTAGTTCTGAAGCAACGAAGCATTTTGAAGGTGCTTTGGGGACGATGTAGGCAGGTGAAATGGTGCTTGTTCTTACTAAACGTTTGTTGTTGAGAGTTTACATATCGTTAGCCCGTAAGGTAGTTAGTTCTTGTTCTTATTATGGGCCTCATATTCTAGGACCCATTGCCCACCTAAACACATTCATCTGCATCCACTAAGCCCACTTACACAACAGAGCCTTGTGACCAAGAAGAGGAGACATGAGAGTAATTGACACGGGAGATGACCGAAGTTGTGCTGATTACACATCTGTGATGCTCAATCGTCACATATATTGAAATATTAGGTCCCTTTTCCACTTTTCATACAGAATCTTTTCTCTTTTACCGTCTAAGAAGGTTTAACTGGTGTGAATTGTGTCAGTGGTCGATGAGAAAAATAAGGCTACATCAATGCAATGGTCATCCTTGATTCTTCCAGGAAATTTCCTCTTTTCTACTATATCTGCAGTCAGCAAAAGTAATTAAGTTAAATCATCACTCACTTTCTATCCATGAGAGTCCAGAAGACTCGAATTAAAGCAAACCAAAGACTTTCCTATCACTTTCCGCTACATAAAATCAACACCATCTGTGTAAGATAGTCATCCTCTCAGTATCGCCCATCACTTTTGAAAAGCAATCTGCATGTTATTTAATGCCTTAAACCTTTTAAGCATATATCCGATTACCACGCAATTTCTACCAAGACTCTTCCTGGCTTTTATCTCCAAGTTGTGCAAGGTCCTCGTCCTAGGGTAATCGTAAACTATATGCTATCTTTTTTTCTTCTATATATATACCATACATTGTTCTTTGATCTGAAAACCGTTTATATGGCAGCTGGTAGCTCCAAATGGTTTTCAATAAGATTTGAAGCTTATAAGACTCCGGTCTGCGCTCAAAATCCAGGTCCTCAACCTCAAGCCTACAACATCATCTCCCCTTGTTTCACAAAAAAAAGCTCCAAAGAAGAGCAGCTTCAGCAAGTATTTCGCCACTTTGATAGTAATGGAGACGGACTGATTTCATCAGCGAGGAACTTCAATCATACTTCGAGTCTGTAGGTGAGTCCGTGTCTCATGATGAAGTTGAAGGGTTATCAAAGATTTTGACGATAATTGCGACAACTTATTAGAATTTCAGGAATTTGTCCGATTAGTGGAAGGTAATAATAAGGAGGCAGATGAGATGATCTTAGAAGAGCTTTTCAGATGTTTGAAGCTGACAGGGATCGGGGTGTATTACACCAGAGGATGCAACACATGTTAAATCGTTTAGGAGATGTGAGATCACATGAAGACTGGTTTCAATGATTCGCGTCTTTGATCTTGAGGGCAATGGAGTGCTTGATTTCATGATTTCGCCAAATGATGGCTTCTCCTTACAACTCATTCTACGTCTTTAGTTCAGAGTTTTATTTTAATCATATCTTGTCTCTACCAGGTTTTTCATATATTATAAAATATATTACTCAAATGTGTTTTGGTTTGAAATGTTATTTACTAAGAATATTGTATTACTGAAAGATAGATTATTAGGAATCTTTAGAGAAATGTTTGTCGGTTAGAATAAATTTGGTATGTTATAATAATAGTTTGGTTGGATGAATAAATAGTGGATATGTTATATAAATTATTAATTGCGCTCTTTTTAAATAAATAATATATTATTATTTTTATTATTATTTTATCTATTATTTTTTAAATTATTTCTTTTAACCCCTTATATTGAATTTACAAAACACCTAACCATATAAACTTTAATTTATAGCAAAATCACCCCCCTATCACCCAAGCCACCGCGGAGCCGCATAATGGCCAACACCATCCGGATCTGTGTCGTGCGCCGATAAGGATATCCCCTAGATCTGGCAGTGAATATGCTGTTTCACAGCCAAATTGTTGTGAAAGGCCAATCTTTGGTCTGAAACGGCGACCATTTCAGGACCATCTATGGGTGTTCACCTACATCTGGCCGTGAAATGGCCAGATCTGGTTTCGTGAAATGGCCATGGAATCACAAATCCATGGCCGAAAATGTCGCCTATATCGCAGTAACGACTGTGTAAGATCCTATCGGTCTTGTGTCGCTCCCAAGTTTTAGATTGGTCATGCTAAAAACTTGTTCATACTCCCAAATTAGTTCCAATTATAAGAAAAAAACAAGTAATTAGGCTTCCAAACTACCTTTTTCTGACATAGCACTCAGCAGCCAAATTTTGGGACCAAGCGAATGATTATATCCTGCACCATGTGAATCATCTTTACTTGGGGAATCTTGCAAACAAGAAGTAAACACATCTGTGCTTCTGATGCACATTACCTGTGGTCTTGATGATCAATGAGAAGTACATGGGCCTCCTGTCTCAGAGCTTGAAAGTCCAAAGGCAATGGCCAAACTCAAAATCATCCCCACCAATGACATAGTCCATTGATCATTCATCAACAAGCAGCTTGAGAAACATCATATGAGTCAGGCAAAGCAGCAGACTCTGTCATCTCAATTGGTTTATCATAGACAACACTAGATGGGAAACAACTGAAATACATCATGTTATGAAGCTTAGAGATCTTCTTCACATCTCCGCATTTAACAGAACTGAGGACCAACTTAGATAACATGACAAGATTTTGATCCACACCTAACTTAATCATCTGACCTAAAAGCTTCATTGATTCTTCTCTATCTCCTTGCTCACAAAGTGCTTTTATCAAGGTAGAGTAGGTAATAACGGAAGGAGCAATCCCTTCTTTAATCATTTTGCATTTCAAATTAAAGGCCTTTTGGGTATTACCAGTTTTACAGTAACCATCAATCAGAATATTATAGGTTATGACATTAGGGGCCAACCCTTTCAGGTGAAGTTTGTGGAAAAGCCTCAGTGCTCGGTCCAGTTTTCCTGATTTACACAAACCGTTTATTAGAGCATTGTATGTGGCAATGTTTGGAACGAGAGCCCTTTTCAGCATTTCATCCCGTAACTTGAAAGCTTCAGTGACATCACCAGCAGCTGCATAGGCATGAATCAGGGTACAGTAGGTAAAATTGTCTGGAGTAAAGCCCGAAAGCAACAAAGCTGAGAAAACACTTCTTGCATCATCAACCTTCCCAGACTTGCAGAGTCCGGCAATAGCTATATTGTACACCACATTGTTGGGCATATCAAAACTTTTGGCACTTTCATCAAGGGAGTCGGCAATTTTCTGAGCATCCAGACTAATAACATCGGTCTTGAGGAGTTTGAGATTTGGAAAAAGATCAAAATCCACAATTTTCAGCAAAAGCATATTTGCTTCATCAATCCTACCAAGTCCAAACAGGGTGCTAACAATTTTGCTGCACATAATCACATTTGAGGCAAATCCCTTCTCTGTCATCTCGAAATATGCAGTAAAAGCTTTATCCAGCATCCCTACATCACACCAACCAATAACAAGGGCCCCATAAGTTACAGCATTAGGTGATAAACCTGAATTCTGCATTTCAGCAAGAAGATCCACCACTATACTTAATTTCCTAGACCTAAAGGCTCCACTAATAAGAGAATTATACATTTCAATGGAAGGAAAAACCGCTTCCCCTTCCATTACATTTTTAATCTTAAAAGCTTCTTCAATATTTCCAACTTTACAATAGCCATCACTAAGGATTCTATATGTTACTTTGTCAGGCAAACATCCCAACTCCTTCAACCTGTCAAAAATCTGCTGTGCTTCAATCATTTTTCCCATCTTACATAATCCATTAATCATTGTATTGAAAGCAATTGTGTTTTTGGAGAAACCCCTGGCTAATATATTGTTCCAAAGTCTTATTGCGCCATCGAGATCTCCCATCTTGAACAAAATGTCAAGCAGAGTACAATAGCCAACCACATTAGGAGACACACCTCTTTTCAACATCATACACCACAGGTGCAAAGCATCATCAAATGCATCCACACGACACAAACCTTTGAGAAGAGTATTATAAGTAACAACAGTAGGAGGGATTCCTTCACGAAGCATCTCATCACAAAGCTTGAAGGCCTCACTCATATTATTTAATCTGCAATACCCATCCAGTAATGTATGATAACTGAACGAATCTGGCCTTAAGTTCCAATCTCCCATACATCTTAACACTCGTTTTGCTTGACTAATTTGACCAAGTTTACAGTGGCCATTAATTAAAGAGTTACAAATAAGCAGATTCATCTTCAACCCTGCCTTCAGCATCTCATTCCGAACCCTATTAGCATCGTCAACTTTACCTACTCTACAATACCCATCTATCAGAACCCCATAAGCACATTCATCGACAACAATATCCTGCTCATCATTCATCCTTTGAAGTACCTTCTCGGCTTCCTCCATCTTACCTTGTTTGCAATAACCCTTAATCAACAATGTATATGAAACCACATTTCTCGAAATCCCCTTTTCACACATCAACTCTAACACCTCTTTTGCACCCTTAATATCTCCTAAACCAACATATCCATCCATCAAACTATTGTAAGACACCACATTCAATTCAAACCCCAGATTCTCCATTTCCTTCACGAACTCCACAGCCTTTTCCACCCTCTTCTCCTTACAATACGCATTAACCATTATTGAACACGTAAAAACATCGGGCACAATCCCAACTCTAATCATTTGCTCATAAACACGCAACGCAACATACGTTTCATCCCTTTTAACCAAATTACTTAACAAAGAATTACAAGACCTCAAACTTGGGACACGGCCATACTTTCCCATATTATCGAACACGTGCAATGCATTCTTTAGCATGCCTCTCTCAGCATAAATTTTCAATATCATATCGAAAACAAGAGGCGAAAATGTAAATTCCTTATAAACCTTAACGAGCTCATCCCAAATTAAGAACCCTGAATAATTATTCCGACATAAGCCAACCAATTCGTGTAAACACTCTCGGGTTTCATCGTACATTCGAGCACGTGACAAGATGTGAACAATCTTGCAATAAGACTTAATACTTGGCCTGAAATTTTGTTGCTTTGAAGCTAATTCAAAAAACCCCAAGCAAGCCTTAGGATTTAGTCTTAGTTTCTGCAGCACTGAATCGAGGAGATCATCTGAGTAGTCAAAAGAAAGGTTGCTAAGGGCCTCGTAACGACCCAGGACAAGGATACGAGTAATCCGTTCGATCAATTCGGGTTGGCTTAGCTTGTATTCGTGGCGGGGCTTCCAGTGGAGGAAACGGCGCGCGTGAAGACGAGAGAGATGGTGAAGAGTGGAAAATAGAGAGTACCTGAGCATTGCAGGAGAGAAAATTTTGATATTGTAGTTGTTGTTGAAGACACTGCATCTTAACATCGATAAAATTATCAGCCATTAGTTCTGAAGCAACGAATGCATTTTGAAGGTGCTTTGGGGACGATGAGTGGAGCAAGTGAAATGGTGCTGTGTTCTTACTAAACGTTTGTTGCTGAGAGTTTACATATCGTTAAGCCCGTAAAGGTAGTTGAGTTCTTGTTCTTATTATGGGCCTCATATTCTAGGACCCATTGCCCACCTAAACACAAATTCCTGCATCCACTAAGCCCACTTACACAACAGAGCCTTGTGACCAATAGAAGAGGGAGACATGAGAGTAATTGACACGGGAGATGACCGAAGTTTGCTGATTACACATCTGTGATGCTCAATCGTCAACATATATTGAAAATTATTAGGTCCCTTTTCCACTTTTCATACGGAGATCTTTCTTCTTTTACCGTCTAAGAAGGTTTAACTGGTGTGAATTGGTCAGTGGTCGATGGAAAAATAAGGCTACATCAATGCAATGGTCATCCTTGATTCTTCCAGGAAATTTCCTTCTTTTCTACTATATCTGCACTGTCAACAGCAAAAGTTAATCAAGGAGATAAGTTAAATCATCCACTCACTTTCTATCCATGAAGGGTCCAGAAGACTCGGGAATTAAAGCAAACCAAAGACTTTCCTATCACTTTCCGCTAATCAATAAATCAACAACCATCTGTGTAAGATAGTCATCCTCTCAAGTATCGCCCATCACTTTTGGAAAAGCAATCTGCATTGTTATTTAATGCCTTAAACCTTTTAAGCATATATCCGATTACCACGCAATTTCTACCAAGACTCTTCCTGGCTTTTAGTCTCCAAGTTGTGCAAAGGTCCTCGTCCTAAGGGGTAAATCGTAAACTTATGCTATCTTTTTTTCTTCTATATATATAACCATACATTGTTCTTTGTATCTGAAAACCGGTTAATAATGGCAGCTGGTAGCTCCAAATGGTTTTCCAATAAGAGTTTGAAGCTTATAAGACTTCCTGGTCTGCGCTCAAAATCCAGGTCCTCAACCTCAAGCTCTACAACATCATCTCCCCTTGTTTCACAAAAAAAAAGCTCCAAAGAAGAGCAGCTTCAGCAAGTATTTCGCCACTTTGATAGTAATGGAGACGGACTGATTTCATGCGAGGAACTTCAATCATACTTCGAGTCTGTAGGTGAGTCCGTGTCTCATGATGAAGTTGAAAGGGTTATCAAAGATTTTGACGATAATTGCGACAACTTATTAGAATTTCAGGAATTTGTCCGATTAGTGGAAGGTAATAATAAGGAGGCAGATGATGATGATCTTAGAAGAGCTTTTCAGATGTTTGAAGCTGACAAGGGATCGGGGTGTATTACACCAAGAGGATTGCAACACATGTTAAATCGTTTAGGAGATGTGAGATCACATGAAGACTGTGTTTCAATGATTCGCGTCTTTGATCTTGATGGCAATGGAGTGCTTGATTTCCATGAATTTCGCCAAATGATGGCTTCTCCTTAACAACTCATTCTAGCGTCTTTAGTTCAAGAGTTTTATGTTAATCAAATCAGTCTCTACCTATTTTTATTTTAACCAATATATTTAACTATTTAGGGTGTGTTTGGTTTAGGGAACATATATTATTGAGGAAAGATATATTAATCGAAAGGTGCGTTTGGTTCAGGGAATCTTATATTACTAAGAAATATTGTATTACTGGAAAGATAGATTATTAGGCAATCTTTAGAGAAATGTGTCTAGTTAGTTGGAATAAATTGGTGGGTATGTTATAATAATATGTTTGGTTGGATGAATAAATGAGTGAGTATGTTATATAAATTATTAATTGCGCTCTTTTTAAAATAATAATATAATATTATTTTTATTATTATTTTATTCTATTATTTTTTAAATTATTTCTTTTAACCCCTTTATATTTGAAATTTTACCAAAACACCCTAACCATATACAACTTTAATTTATAGCAAAATCACCCCTACTCACCCCAAGCCACCGCCGGCAACCGCCATAATGGCGTACAACCAGCCGGATCTGGTTGGTCGTGCGCCGATAAGGATTAATCCAACTAGATCTGGCAGTGAATATGGCTGTTTCACAGCCAAAGATATAGCTGTGAAAAGGCCAAATCTTTGGTCGTGAAACGGCGACCATTTCACGACCAAATCTATGGCATTGGCCATGAAACAGCCAGATCTAGTCGTTTTCGGCCATGGATCACAAATCCATGGCTGGAAACGTCCTTATCGTCATACGACCGGTAAGATCCTACCGGTCTTGTGTTGATATGACGACTTTCGCTGACGGTCAGCGATGGCGGCTAGCAGCCAGCGATGATCTTTGGTGGTTGGGGGTATTTTGTTAACTTTTAAACTTTTTCATGGTAAGGGTGTTTTAGCTAAATTCTGAAATGTAGGGGGTCTGGGTAATTATTAATGGTAGACATATGATGGCAAATGTGTCCGAAATGATAAAAAATTAAGGGCAAAATTGGGTCAAAATTAATATTACCTCAGTAATCTTATATTAACACCTCTTGGAAAGATAATTTGATTACCCCAAATATTATCAACAGTAAACACTATTTGTAATAAAAGATTACGTAATTTTTTATTACTTGACAACCAAATGAGGGAATCTTGAAAATTAAACAAAGATTACAGAATTAATCTTATATCACCCCGAACCAAACGCTACCGAAGATTATTAGGAATGTTTAGGGAAATTGTTTGATTGGTTGGAATAAATTGGTAGATATGTTATATTAATATATTTGGTTGAGAGGAATAAATATACCCTCTTTTTAAAATATTAATATAATATTATTTTTTGAATCATTTTTTTAACTCTTTAAGTTTGAGATATATCTAAAACACCCCAAATACATAAAAATTTAATTTCTAACCAAATCACCCCCACCAACCCCAAGCCACTATCGACTGCTTGCCACCACCGTCGACGACAGTAGCAATGGCCGAAACAGCGCACAACCAGCCATGCACTGATCTGACCATTTCCAGCTAGATCTACGGCCATAATTGGTCGTTGTTAAAGGCTAAAAGCCATAGATCCAACCGATCGTGCACTGTTACGACGCCAGCAGTGAGCAGTGGTGGCCGACCTTCAACTACTGACAGTGTTGGCCAGATCCAGCCACCACCCTTAGGTATTTTTTTTTTAAGTCTAAGGGTATTTTTGTCCTAAAATTTTTGTATATAAAGATAAAATAGTCTATTAGTATTTTTGTAAATTGTTTTTAAAATAAGGGCATTATTGTCCTAAAATTTTATTAATAAGGATAAAACTGTAACAAAATTAAGATTATAAAGTAATCTCGGAATACCTAAAAAAAAATGAGAGTAATCAGACCACTTTCTATATTATCAATAGTAATTTTTATTAGTTTTAGAAGATAACCAAATCTTATATTACTTGACAACCAAATATGATAATCAAGTAATATAAGTTAACATTACCTCAATTATCCCCAACCAAACACACGTTAATATTTTTCAGAGCAAACTGTCTGGTACTTTTGATGATGAAATATCAAATACGTTAGTAAACTAAAGTCAAGTTTGTTAATCATGTAGATTTATAATCGAAAAATCTGATGAATTATAGGTTAGTGCAAAAACTTGTACACGCTCCAAATAGTTGTGATTAAAACAACAAATGTTTGAAAAATCACCTCCGGGAATATTTGATAAATTATAGGAGTTAGATGAAGATTAAAATTGAACTTTTATATAATTAAAAGAATCAAAATCACGTATGCGGTGGCAACAACATAGCCACAGGGCGCAAAAATCAGTAACTCTTAAGAAACTAATCTACAGAGTTTTGATTCCTACATGCTAGGGCCTCGGTTCAACTGTGTCAAAAGAAAAAAGAAGCAGAGTTGAAAGAATGTTGGATACTTGTACAAGTTCAGTATGGAAATCTCCCAGTCATGCGGATATGATCCAGGGTCCTTCCAAGCCCATATTTATTTACTGCCACCTGCCCTGCTCTGAATCCATCTCCATACACTGGGGAAGCGTCTGATACGATCTGGTGCTTAAAAAATTCTCCTAGCTTTCTCTCAAATTTCGATCTTGTCTGCCTCCTTGAATTTTTGGAGGATGAGGTTGATGCAACATTATTGCCTGAACTGGACCTGAGCTGGGCATCTAACCACATGTGTGCTAAAACCTGACAAATGCCTTCCTCAACATCTTGATTCAGAGTACGGAAACCTTATAAACAAACAATATATAAATATTAGTGTCTCCACAAGGCATCAAAAGAAAACATCCAAGGTCTTCATATTTCGGTATCATTTGATTGATTGAATGAACTGTGAAGTAAATATGAGGCACAAAATAAAAAATAAATAAATAGACGCATTTTAAATTCCATGAGATGGGATAAAAAGTACCTTGAAGTCGCATCCAAGCATGCATCATCTCATGGGCTAGGATTGACCCGGTAAGTAATCTGTGTAAACAGAAATTTCCAATCGCAGATCAAACACCCAGCCAATAATTACAATTGCAAAAACTCGTACATCTCATGACTAGATAAAAAATTGCAGAACTAATGCAGCAAGGTCGAACACATAAAAGGAAAGAGAAATGTGGAAATGCACGAGATGTAAAACGGTTTTACAAATTAGCTTTCATCTCATATCAACAATTAAGATTGACAAGCATGTAATAGTGTGCAGGAGCACGTGCGTGTGCTGTGTGTGGGTGGGTGCCTGGCTGGGATTAGATTTTTCCTTTAATGACTCTTAACAACCTATTTGCAGCTAACCATGGCAAGAAGTACGATAGCATCATCCAACAAAATAAAGTAGGCCATTCAAACTGTCACTCCATTTTAGTATTAGGGGGCATAGACAAATAGAAAATGTAACATCATCTCATGCAATCAAAATACCAAGTAATAGAAGTTCCTTTCTGTAGGCCCATAACATTTCATGTCTACCAGATATGAATCTCCCATTATCTCATCAAGCGAACTGTTATTGCCATCACAACCCTTTTATTCCCAATTCCACAACATTTAAGAATTAGAAGTACATTTTTTTTTTTTTAATATTTTAAATTATTTGTACATTCTCGAGTGTTGTGCAGATCACCTACCTTCTACTACAAATTCTAAAGAGAGTTAAATTACAATACCTTGGAAGGCCATACAGAATCAGAATTGCAGTCACCTCACAGCGTCGTGACAGTTTGTACGGCTCTGTTATCATTTCCATGGGTATGCTTCCTGGCCCAAGCCTTGTTCGCCTTCGAATCTGGAGATTTTCAGGTTTTATTATTAAACCTCGGACCAATTTATATATATAAAGTCCAGTTCACCAAAGAAAGCAAAAGATATAAAATTCTTACTGTGCTGATAGTTTGTTCCTCAGAAAGGCAGAGCCCTCTGGTCTCCGGCATGTGATAATGGCCCTAGCCAATACAAAAAAGAATGTCCAGTTATAAAATTTACAGAAGAAACAAAAATTGTTAACAAATAGCTAATCTACAATGACAAAGAGTACAAAAACACATAATAAAACAATTCATGTGCAAGCGCATATCTGTTGGTTTGTTTCTCTGAATTTAATGTATCAGCATAATTTAATCATGTTGATTTTGTATGGGCGTGAAGTACAAACAGAACAATATATAATTAAAGAGACTTATTACAATGTACTAGTTATATGTCAAACAGTATGATTTACTAGATCAATTACAAATTCTAGGAAAAGATAAGGTAAGCCGATTTTAAAATGCTTAAGCAGTATAAGAAGTAAGCACAGGTCTGCTGTCAACAATATAAGATATGCCAACCATGACTATTCAAAATTATCCTACATGTCACAGTGATAAGAAGAGTTTAAGACTTTCTCTGCATACATTCTTTTCTCCCTCTCTGGCTTCATTTAATGCTTGCCTTTCAACCAAGAGTAGTGGAACTTGCTGCTCCAATTTCATATTTAAGCCTTCATAAAATTCTTGTATATCAAGATAAAGGGGTTGGCATGCATTGGTATCCATGATTGAAGAGTCTAGACACTCTAGGCAGAGCCTCCGTCCATCATTAAGGGCAACGTATCCAGTTTCGCGTGGCTGCATATTATGCACAGATGTATCATGCGACAAGTTTCTTATCAGAAAAATCACAAGCACATGCTTCCCTTTAAATGCTAACAGAACCTGTTCTGAATGAAGATGCATATATTTCACTCAGACTGACCTCCATTCGTTCACAGCTGCAGCATCTTGGAGTGCCATCATGTTCATGAGAAGGGCAGTACTTCTGGGACCAAAAAGGGTGTGCCCTATACTCAATAAGACCAGCAGGGTTTGTTGGGATCTGTCAAAAAAAAATATAATCCAGAAAGACCAATGGATGATGAGTGATATATACAGAGAGAAGTGCATTTACATGTCTTAAATTTAACATCTCAAAAAAAGGTAAAATCAGAACTTGAATATGAAGTGCATAAATGAGGCTTTCATAATTTCCATGAATCTTATGATGAAATATCCCAATTGTTGCTTATGAGGTCAAAAACCATCATTATTCTATAACAAGATGATTTCTATTATGAACACATGCATTGCAACTGACATTGAAATACAATTCTACATCAAAAAAATTAGCTGAGAACTTGGTTGCTAGTAGGGATCTTCACATATATCTGCAATCTGTTCTTCCATTGGCCATTTCTAAGATATTAGAAGGACAAACAACTTAAAACAAAATAATAATAAACAGAATATTTTCTTCGTAATGAGACAAACTTACAAAATGCTTGCAAACATCACATTTTGGATGGTACTGCTCCTTGTAGCAAAATTTATGATAAGGGTAATTCCCAGACATAGAAAACTACAGGAAAATGAACAAAAGAAACATTAGACACCATACATCACATACTATAAGAAACCTACCAAAAAAACATAAATAGAAAAACAATAATCAGTCAGAAAACAAGTACTTTAGGATACAATTAAGGCTAAACTTTTCACCTCAATATCAGAAATTGGTAGCTGACAAGCATGGCAACGGAAACATTCTGGATGCCAATATGCATTAAGGCAATTCAGAAATCGTCCTTGACCAATCTCAGCATTGCAACCAGCACAGATCCTACCCAAGAAAGATATTCTTTAATCATTTTTCTCGCATAAGTGTCTGAAGGAGATAGCAGTGAATAGGAAAGGAGTGGAGCTCCACAGGAAATTTAGGATACAACAGCAGACAGTACCAAGTCAGGAACAGTTGAGGCCAAAAAAAGCAACCACATTATCCCTCACAAACATCCTTTTCACCTAGAAGGGTTTTGGATCAAATTTTTCAAAATCTAAATCCCGGGTTCAAGTTTCATAACTGGCACACTCATGCAAAGAATCGTTTACTTATTTTTTCCCCAAAATACAAAGCCTATCAGCAATTAGGACCCTTTCTAAAATCACTCATCCATAAGTGCAAAACCAAGGTGCATCAGATTTACTGGTATTAGAATGAGCTAATGTAATTGATCACATAACTCAAACATACCTGTACCCTGTTGGAAATTGGAGTGGCATGGGGAGATACGGATGTCCATTTCCATACCTAGGAGGAGATTCAAAGTTCAAGCTTTCTTGTATAGCTCTTGCAAGTTGTTCATCCTCTTCCAATTGAGATCCCCTGTCTATTCAAAGTATTGTAAAAAAATTAATAAATTAAACTGTAGCACATTCAATTGTAAAAATATAGAAATTACTCAACATAGTTGCCTAATGCCAATATGCTGGCCATATTATATACATCCAATGTTTGGCAAACTAACAACCCATAAAAGTAATTTCCAAAATAGGAATGAAGAAAATGCAAATAAATTATATTCCCATAGACTATGATTGCTCAACAAATTTGATGAAGCGGTGATGCATGGCACAGACTGAGTTCAACATATTGTCACCAGAAACAGATGGAATGCAGTGATTGGGCCTTTTAATTTCTTAATACAACTGGAAGTTCTTCCTCAGTTATTTCCAGTCACAGGATCCAGAGAAAAGAGAAAATGTACATCCTTATAACAGACGAGAGCACTTATAATAACATGTAATGCCCATATACTCACCGATCACCGTTTCTCCTTTTTGACTTTCTTCTACGAGGGATAGTGCAATGGCACGATCTATATCTTCATTCTCTTGCTCGGACCACACATCCTAAATTTGAGATTCCCGAAAAGTTATATGTTGAGTAAGAACATATCAGACATCTAAGTATCTAACTAGCCGAAGCAGTAAAGAGATATTACTAGATGCAAGAAGCATACATAAGCACAATGAAAGGACAATTAAATCCCATCTGAAAGATTATAAGTATGAGATGTAAAAGAAGGAATGTATGTACTTACCCCTGAAGTTGAAGGTGCATAGGAATTTGGCTCCTCTCCATGATTACCACGATAATGCCCTTCCGAAATTCTGTGGCTGGAGCCTTTAAAAAATTTGTTAAGCCAACCCATAATGTATAATGTTATCTGCCCATAGTCAATGAAGTTTTTACCTGTTCATGAAGAAAATCAACAAAATAAAAGAAATGAACAGAAACGAAGGACTAAACCCTTGAATATTTCCGATAAGTCTAAATGATCACCACAACCTTTAAACCTAAACCTAAAACCAAAATGCTTGTCAATTATTGAAAACCATCAAATTTTTTTTTTTTTATACATTTGAAAATTAAAGAATGATAATTAACTCATGGGACCGAGAAAACATCAGAAATTTTCCATCAGATGAACATAGAAAAATCAAGCTCAGATAGCATAAGAAGAAAAAAGTTGAAGGCAAAAAATCTCAGGCAAGCCATCCATGTCTATGAAACTAAAGTCAAATTTAGTTAGAACGATTGAGAAAAGTAAACACCATCAAAATATAGACATACATAGAGCTATAGGGCTATCATAACTGGAGTATACTTTCCATACATTTAGACAATCTAAATTTCATATCCATTTCATGCACAGTCAATTCCCACATTGGAGTAGGGCATTTCTCTTGATAAGCATAAGAAAACAAAACTCTAAAAATAAAATAAATACAGCACCCACCAGGCATTGTGTTGCCCAGAAGGTTAGAGCCACAAAGGAGTGAAAAAAGATCAATAAGTTGTCACAAGCTCAAGATTATATATGAGATAGAAGACAGAGATTCTTCCAGCTCACCATGCCAACAAATTCATGACATGTAGCGTTTTGTTACAGGCTCTAAAGATAAAAAGATTTAAGAATCAAAATAGTGGGAAAATGACTCACCTCTGACAAATCAAGAACCTGGAACAATGGTAGAAGCAGAACACACCCAGATCAGATAAAGATCCAATTCCCTCAAAAGGCCAAATTTACAGTCTCACAAAGGAAGATAGATATTCTTCAAAAAAAAAAAAAATAATAAAAAATAAAAAAAACTATATATTCAGAAGAGGAGAGACCCTTTTTGCTTTTAAACGCTTTCAATCCAAAGCGGGTTAGAATCTATCAGAGCAACAAAAATGTTATCAAAAATAAATGGAAGATGATTCAGAATGACTTTACAAAATGCTTGCAAACATCACATTTTGGATGGTACTGCTCCTTGTAGCAAAATTTATGATAAGGGTAATTCCCAGACATAGAAAACTACAGGAAAATGAACAAAAGAAACATTAGACACCATACATCACATACTATAAGAAACCTACCAAAAAAACATAAATAGAAAAACAATAATCAGTCAGAAAACAAGTACTTTAGGATACAATTAAGGCTAAACTTTTCACCTCAATATCAGAAATTGGTAGCTGACAAGCATGGCAACGGAAACATTCTGGATGCCAATATGCATTAAGGCAATTCAGAAATCGTCCTTGACCAATCTCAGCATTGCAACCAGCACAGATCCTACCCAAGAAAGATATTCTTTAATCATTTTTCTCGCATAAGTGTCTGAAGGAGATAGCAGTGAATAGGAAAGGAGTGGAGCTCCACAGGAAATTTAGGATACAACAGCAGACAGTACCAAGTCAGGAACAGTTGAGGCCAAAAAAAGCAACCACATTATCCCTCACAAACATCCTTTTCACCTAGAAGGGTTTTGGATCAAATTTTTCAAAATCTAAATCCCGGGTTCAAGTTTCATAACTGGCACACTCATGCAAAGAATCGTTTACTTATTTTTTCCCCAAAATACAAAGCCTATCAGCAATTAGGACCCTTTCTAAAATCACTCATCCATAAGTGCAAAACCAAGGTGCATCAGATTTACTGGTATTAGAATGAGCTAATGTAATTGATCACATAACTCAAACATACCTGTACCCTGTTGGAAATTGGAGTGGCATGGGGAGATACGGATGTCCATTTCCATACCTAGGAGGAGATTCAAAGTTCAAGCTTTCTTGTATAGCTCTTGCAAGTTGTTCATCCTCTTCCAATTGAGATCCCCTGTCTATTCAAAGTATTGTAAAAAAATTAATAAATTAAACTGTAGCACATTCAATTGTAAAAATATAGAAATTACTCAACATAGTTGCCTAATGCCAATATGCTGGCCATATTATATACATCCAATGTTTGGCAAACTAACAACCCATAAAAGTAATTTCCAAAATAGGAATGAAGAAAATGCAAATAAATTATATTCCCATAGACTATGATTGCTCAACAAATTTGATGAAGCGGTGATGCATGGCACAGACTGAGTTCAACATATTGTCACCAGAAACAGATGGAATGCAGTGATTGGGCCTTTTAATTTCTTAATACAACTGGAAGTTCTTCCTCAGTTATTTCCAGTCACAGGATCCAGAGAAAAGAGAAAATGTACATCCTTATAACAGACGAGAGCACTTATAATAACATGTAATGCCCATATACTCACCGATCACCGTTTCTCCTTTTTGACTTTCTTCTACGAGGGATAGTGCAATGGCACGATCTATATCTTCATTCTCTTGCTCGGACCACACATCCTAAATTTGAGATTCCCGAAAAGTTATATGTTGAGTAAGAACATATCAGACATCTAAGTATCTAACTAGCCGAAGCAGTAAAGAGATATTACTAGATGCAAGAAGCATACATAAGCACAATGAAAGGACAATTAAATCCCATCTGAAAGATTATAAGTATGAGATGTAAAAGAAGGAATGTATGTACTTACCCCTGAAGTTGAAGGTGCATAGGAATTTGGCTCCTCTCCATGATTACCACGATAATGCCCTTCCGAAATTCTGTGGCTGGAGCCTTTAAAAAATTTGTTAAGCCAACCCATAATGTATAATGTTATCTGCCCATAGTCAATGAAGTTTTTACCTGTTCATGAAGAAAATCAACAAAATAAAAGAAATGAACAGAAACGAAGGACTAAACCCTTGAATATTTCCGATAAGTCTAAATGATCACCACAACCTTTAAACCTAAACCTAAAACCAAAATGCTTGTCAATTATTGAAAACCATCAAATTTTTTTTTTTTTATACATTTGAAAATTAAAGAATGATAATTAACTCATGGGACCGAGAAAACATCAGAAATTTTCCATCAGATGAACATAGAAAAATCAAGCTCAGATAGCATAAGAAGAAAAAAGTTGAAGGCAAAAAATCTCAGGCAAGCCATCCATGTCTATGAAACTAAAGTCAAATTTAGTTAGAACGATTGAGAAAAGTAAACACCATCAAAATATAGACATACATAGAGCTATAGGGCTATCATAACTGGAGTATACTTTCCATACATTTAGACAATCTAAATTTCATATCCATTTCATGCACAGTCAATTCCCACATTGGAGTAGGGCATTTCTCTTGATAAGCATAAGAAAACAAAACTCTAAAAATAAAATAAATACAGCACCCACCAGGCATTGTGTTGCCCAGAAGGTTAGAGCCACAAAGGAGTGAAAAAAGATCAATAAGTTGTCACAAGCTCAAGATTATATATGAGATAGAAGACAGAGATTCTTCCAGCTCACCATGCCAACAAATTCATGACATGTAGCGTTTTGTTACAGGCTCTAAAGATAAAAAGATTTAAGAATCAAAATAGTGGGAAAATGACTCACCTCTGACAAATCAAGAACCTGGAACAATGGTAGAAGCAGAACACACCCAGATCAGATAAAGATCCAATTCCCTCAAAAGGCCAAATTTACAGTCTCACAAAGGAAGATAGATATTCTTCAAAAAAAAAAAAAATAATAAAAAATAAAAAAAACTATATATTCAGAAGAGGAGAGACCCTTTTTGCTTTTAAACGCTTTCAATCCAAAGCGGGTTAGAATCTATCAGAGCAACAAAAATGTTATCAAAAATAAATGGAAGATGATTCAGAATGACTAGAAGAGAAGGCAAATACGCAAAAAGAATGGCGGTGTACTTGAATTGTAAGCCAATTCAAAGTCAAATTATTAGAAAACGTAAAAACATAAACGGATAGTTGTGTTGATAACCCAAAAGGGATTGACGAAGAATCATCAAACCCAATTGGGTTTTGACTAAATTTTCCTATAATTTGGAAGGCATGTGGGGTCCTCCTAATTCTTCAACAAGAAGGCCCCAACAAAGGTTCTTTGAGGAAAGCGATTTTCTTTTTTTTCCTTTTTTATCTTTTTGTTTTTGGTAGTATTTTATGCAAAGATGGCTTGAGTCGTTCAAATTGAGCCAGTTGACGTGGGGGGTTTAAAGTTAAAAGGCACCGAAAACAGGATGAAAAGTTCGAAGTTGTGCACGATCATTAACAGTTTGAACTACAAGTCTCTTGCTGTGTCTGTAATCTCTATGTTTCAAAATCAAAAGTTGAACCGTTCGCTAAAGATTCCAATGCTATCAAGCTTTAATCTTGTACTAATAACTATCTTCGAATTGTTTTGTTTGGGTTTCCACAGGAATTTACTACTTAGATTCTTAATCTTGTCTACATGTTTTTCTGAACTAATTTTTTACAAATATTGTACCTTATTAAATTATGATATGACTTTTACATAAACCATAGTTTTATTTAAAGAAGGAAAATGTCAAAGCGATGAAATATTTATTTAAAAACTCTTAAATAAAGTACATTATCTCAATAAATGTCTAAAGGTACATGTTAGAACCTTCAAAAATAGTAAGCTACTATATTTAATAATTAATTATTATGCAAAGAAATAATTGACTTGACGATTTTAAAGATGAAACTATATGCTTTCGTTACGTGAGGCTTGAGTCTTGAGCCGCTCCCATCGACATCAGACGTCGGCCACGTGTTAGTTAAAACCCCTACGCGACTTCTGTTAGAAACTCCTCGTATACGCTGACAAAGTCTTGTACACAGTCTTCTGCCGTCCATATTTACGCGGTAAGTCTAACGCCCTTTCACATTTAAATTTAAGCACCCTTTAATTATTGCCTATGTCACCCGTCTTTAATGGCTCATCGGTCAATACAATCCATGTTTTCCTCTATTTTTGTTTTTTTTGTTTTTAAGGCATCAAAAGCCTTCTTGTATAAATAACATTAACATTATTAATGTTGATATGAAAATCGTATCAACCAAAGAGATCCGATTGATCTTGATGAAATCAGAATAAATGTGTATATAATTAACTGAAATCAAAATGACATATGTGATTAACTGAAATCAATAATATATAATAAAAGAGCAATAAAATAAAGAACACAAAAAGATTTTTAGAGTGATTCGACAAGTTGAATCTTGAGCTTACTTGTTTTTTATTGCTTTTGAGAACTACAAAAAATGAGTCTTTTACTTAGAATAATTTGTTAACACATTTTTCATTGTTTTATGAGGTATTTATACATGATTTTCACAAAAGGAAAGGAGAGATGAATTCGAGATTGCAATCTTGTGATTTTAGTGATTCTGCGTTAAGATTGTACTGCAATCAATGTTAGTCTTATCTCCTTCGAGATATCAAAGATTGGTACTCATCCTTTGATCCGTAGTTGTCAGATTCTAGGTCGAACTACAATTCTGCTAGCTTATGAGATCTTCAATCATCTGCAAAATCACACACAACAATTAACATATACATAACATGTTTTCCACGTGTTTTGAAGTTGATTTGAAACGCCATTTCTGTTAGTTTTAACAACTTGAATTTAAGCTGGCGCAACTTCTATTATGCTTAGCACACAATTTGGTCATTCGCTTTAATATTATTGTTAATTTGTTTGGTGGCAATGGCAAACTAGTCGACGTCAACAAAGATGGCTTAATTAGGTAAAACTACTCCAAACTCTTTCCGATGAAATTTGCAGACTGCCTTTGTATGCAATTTACCAAATCCAACTGCGGTTCCCCACGTGTAGGCTCCATAGCCGAGGAAATTATTGGCTTAGAATATACAAGTTGATTGAATTAATGCTTTTTTAGAAGAGGCCGTCATTACGAAATAATAGTTTTCAGTTCATCTCTGAAAACAAATTCATAAACTGTTTAAAGAATAGTCTGTTAATTGTACAAATGAATCTTTTTCGTTTTGGAGTAATTGGTACATCTTACCTTGTTTGCAATAACCCTTAATCAACAATGTATATGAAACCACATTTCTCGAATCCCCTTTTCACACATCAACTCTAACACCTCTTGCACCCTTAATATCTCCTAAACCAAAACTACCATGCATCAAACATTGTAAGACACCACATTCAATTCAAACCCCAGATTCTCCATTTCCTTCACGAACTCCACGCCTTTTCCACCTCTTCTCCTTACAATACGCATTAACCATTATTGAACACGTAAAAACATCGGGACCATCCCAACTCTAATCATTTGCTCATAAACACGCAACGCAATATACGTTTCATCCTTAACCAAATTACTTAACAAAGAATTACAAGACCTCAAACTTGGGACACGGCCATACTTTCCCATATTATCGAACAACCGTGCAATGCATCTTTAGCATGCCTCTCTCAGCATAAATTTTCAATATCATATCGAAAACAAGAGGCGAAAATGTAAATTCATTATAAAACCTTAACGAGCTATCCCAAATTAAGAACCCTGTAATTATTCCGACATAAGCCAACCAATTCGTGTAAACACTCTCGGGTTTCATGCGACATTCGAGCACGTGACAAGATGTGAACAATCTTGCAAAGACTTAATACTTGGCCTGAAATTTTGTTGCTTTGAAGCTAATTCAAAAAACCCAAGCAAGCCCGGATTTAGTCTTAGTTTCTGCAGCACTGAATCGAGGAGTCATCTGAGTGTCAAAGAGAGGTTGCTAGGCCTGTAACGACCCAGGACAAGGTACGAGTAATCCGTTCGATCAATTCGGGTTGGCTTGCTGTATTCGTGGCGGGGCTTCAGTGGAGGAAACGGCGCGCGTGAGAAAGAGAGAGATGGTGAAGAGTGGAAAATAGAGAGTACCTGAGCATTGCAGGAGAGAAAATTTTGATATTGTAGTTGTTGTTGAAGACACTGCTCTTAACATCGATAAAATTATCAGCCATTAGTTCTGAAGCAACGAAGCATTTGAAGGTGCTTTGGGGACGATAAGTAGAGCAAGTGAAATGGTGCTCTGTTCTTACTAAACGTTTGTTGTTGAGAGTACATATCGTTATGCCCGTACAGGTAGTTAAGTTCTTGTTCTTATATGGGCCTCATATTCTAGGACCCATTGCCCACCTAAACACAAATTCCTATTTCTGCATCCACTGAGCACTTACACCACAGAGCCTTGGGACCAATAGAAGAGGGAGACATGAGAGTAAGACACGGGAGATGACCGAAGTTGCTGATTACACATCTGTGATGCTCAATCGTCAACATATATTGAAAGTCATTAGGTCCCTTTTCAACTTTTCATACGAAGATCTTTCTCTTTACCGCTAAGAAGGTTTAACTGGTGTGAATTGGTCAGTGGTCGATGGAAAAATAAGGCTACATCAATGCAATGGTCATCCTTGATTCTTCCAGGAAATTTCCTGCTTTTCTACTATATCTGCGGAGATAGTTAAATCATCGACTCACTTTCTATCCATGAAGAGTCCAGAAGACTCAGGAATTAAAGCAAACCAAAGACTTTCCTCACTTTCCGCTAGTCAATAAATCAACGACCATCTGTGTAAGATAGTCATCCTCTCAAGTATCGCCCATCACTTTGGAAAAGCAATCTGCATTGTTATTTAATGCCTTAAACCTTTTAAGCATATATCGATTACCACGCAATTTCTACCAAGACTCTCCTGGCTTTATTCTCCAAGTTGTGCAAAGGTCCTGTCCTAGGGGTAAATCGTAAACTTATGCTATCTTTTTTCTTCTATATAATAAAATACATTGTTCTTTGTACTGAAAACGGTTAATAATGGCAGCTGGTAGCTCCAATGGTTTTCCAATAAGAGTTTGAAGCTTATAAGACTTCTGGTCTGCGCTCAAAATCCAGGTCCTCAACCTCAAGCTCTACAAATCATCCCCTTGTTTCACAAAAAAAAAGCTCCAAGAAGAAGCAGCTTCAGCAAGATTTCGCCACTTTGATGTAATGGAGACGGACTGATTTCATGCGAGGAACTTCAATCATACTTCGAGTCTGTAGGTGAGTCCGTGTCTCATGAGAAGTTGAAAGGGTTATCAAAGATTTTGACGATAATTGCGACAACTTATTAGAATTCAGGAATTTGTCCGATTAGTGGAAGGTAATAATAAGGAGGCAGATGATGATGATCTTAGAAGAGCTTTTCAGATGTTTGAGTGAGCAAGGGATGGGGTGTATTACACCAAGAGGATTGCAACACATGTTAAATCGTTTAGGAGATGTGAGATCACATGAAGACTGCGTTTCAATGATTCGCGTCTTTGATCTTGATGGCAAGGAGTGCTTGGTTCCAGAATTTCGCCAAATGATGGCTCCTCTTAAAACTCATTCTACCGGCTTTAGTTCAGGAGTATGTTAATCATATCAGTCTCTACCGGGAACGTGTATTTCCATATATTAATAGAAAGACTGATTACTCAGAATGGTGTGTTTGGTTTGGAAAAGTTAATTACTAAGGAATATTGTATTACTGTAAAGATAGATTATTAGGGAATCTTTAGAGAAAGTGTGTTGATCGGTTAGAATAAATTAGTGAGTATGTTATAATAATATGTTTGGTTGGGGAAATAAATGAGTGGATATGTTATATAAATTATTAGATTGTCTCTTTTTAAAAATAATATACTATTATTTTTATTATTATTATTCTATTATTTTTTAAATTATTTCTTTTAACCCTCTATATTTGAAATTTTACTAAAACACTCTAACCATATATAACTTTAATTTATAGCAAAATCACCCCCATTCATCCCAAGCCACCGCTGGTAGTCGCCATAATGGTGCACGACCGCGGATTAGCTGTGTGCGCCGATAAGGCCTAATCCGACCAGATCTGGCCGTGAATATGACTGTTTCACGTTTATCTGGTGTGGAAAGGCCAGATCTTTGGTCATGAAACGGCGACCATTTCCTGGCCAATCTATGGTGTTTCACGCCACATTTTGGCCGTGAAAGGCCAGATCTGGTGTGAAATGGCC